TATATATATATATATATATATATATGCTGGTTTTTTTTACGATTTACGGCATGGTATTTAGGAGTGTTGTACAGAACGGCGTTTCTGGAACGCATTCTTTTTAGGAGGAACGAAGGAACGCCGCCATTCCACTTTGCATCGGTGGGACTGGAACGAGAACTCGTTACGTTTTTACAGAACGGGAAAAGGAACGACGTTCTTTTTTTTTTCTTTTGTCCGGTGAGGTGGGTGAGGTAATTCTCATTTTATTTCTAGGGGGGAAACTCTAAAAAGTAAGAAAGCAATCACTTTTCGAATAACAGGATCTTGTCAACTTTTTGCTAATTTTTTGTGGGTTTATTTTGTGGGGTGCTCGCTTGGTAACAGTCGGGTGCATGCGAGCTGGTTGACACTGATTCTTTTTTCAATGCCTAAAACAACGGCAAAAAAAGCCGTTTACAACTCCCTTTAACGCCGAATTGGAGCGCAGCTCTTGAGGACGAGGAGGGAAGGGTACTGAGGGGTGGGTATATTCCTCCTCCTCCCTCGTGATCATGCCTGCTAGTCCTCCTCCCCTCCTCCTCCTCCTCCACCCCCTCCCTCTCCTTCACCGCCTAAAACAACAAATTAAGCATTACGTGACTACCCCCTCCCCTCCCCCCCCAGATCACGTGACCCCGGGGGGTGACTCCCCTCCCCCCGCCGAAGTCACATGACGCCCCGCCCAAGGTCATGTGACCCCCTCCCCCGAGGTCACGTGACCCCCCGGACCTCTGCCCTCCTCCTCCTCCCCCTCCTCCTCGCCCCCCAAGGTCATGTGACCCCCTCCCCCCGACGTCACGTGACCCCCCCGCACCATACTAGACAATGAGGGGAGGAGGAGAAGGAGGCGGGAGGAGGAGGAGGGGGAAGAGGAGGAGGGGAAGAGGAGGAGGGGAGGAGGGGGAGGAGGAGGAGGGGAGGGGCGTGGTTACGCCGACGCCGACGGCGACGCCGACGCCGACGGCGACGCCGACGCCAACGGCGACGCCGACGCCGACGCCGACGCCGCTCAGGCTAGAAACGGGCCCCTAAGAGCTGCGCTCTAAAAACAAAACGTTAATTCGAAGTACAAAACACAAAAGGGGGGACCTTTCAAACACCTCTATTTTCTTTGCTTCCACGGAACCTAGTACACCCGAAAATCTAATGCCGACTACAATTACCGCTGAACTTCCACAAGGGTACCTACAGTTAAAACAAAAGCAAGATACAATACATCTAACGCACCCTTGTATCCCGAACATTGGTCACTTAAAAGATACACAAAAATGAACCTTTATTCCCTCTTCCCTTCTCCCCCACCTTTAAAGGGAACAATCCGAGCTTCAAGATGAAGGACGGTAATTGTCAAGACTGACCTTCCGAAAACCCTACCCTCTGCTGCACTTGCTCGTCTGGCGGAAAGCAATATCGTCAAGCAACTGTTGTTAAGATCAGACATGGGCTTATTTAGATTCAGACATGTGAGGTTGTTGTAAAACGCTCGTAAAATGCGGGTAACCCTTTAATAAAGAATAATAAAATTAACCCCGCTCCACGTTCCCGGCTCACAGTACATTTGGCTCGTTTGAATCGCTTGCCACAAACATGAATCTGGTAATCATGAACCACAAACGTGAATCATGAATTTTAAAAAAATGAGGCATAAAGTACACTCGGATTTGAAGGCGGCCAAACGCCGGTATTACCAAAATAAATTTGTGTCTGTTCACAATGGGGGGGACCAAAGGAAAGTATGGGAAGTTTTTAATACTGTGGCAAACCTGAAAGAACAGAAAAGTGCAGTGAAACAAATCCTAATCAACGGGAACGAGGTGATGGGCGTTGAAATGGTAAACGAAATGAACAGGCATTTTATAAATATCGGCGGAAGTATGGTATCGGAAGGCAATACAAACGCCGACGTGATGACAATGACGAAGATAACAAATTCAATAGTGTTCTTCCCGACAACAATGTATGAAATAGAAACGCTCATTGATAGAATAAAGAACGACGTAGCAGCGGATGACCGACGGGTTGAAGGCTCAACCACTCAAGTATGTACTTAGAATTATTAGCCCTATACTATCATACCTCGCGAATATCATGTTAGAAAGCGGTATTTTCCCGACTGATTTGAAGCTGGCTAAAGTTACTCCTGTTTACAAGGGCGGTAGTTAAAAAAGTATCGAAAATTATAGGCCCATTTCTGTACTCATAATATTCTCTAAATTATTTGAAGGCGTAATAAAAAAACCGCCTAAAAAGTTTTTTTACAAAGCATAGTGTATTCTCCACCGCCCAATACGGGTTCCAAAAGGAAAAATCTACAGAGCAAGCTCTTCTCGAGATTGAAGAGAAATTGGTTGCAAATATTGAAGACAAGTTAATTACACTTGGACTGTTTGTAGATTTGAGGAAAGCCTTCGACACCGTTCAGCATCCTATTTTACTCAACAAACTAGAACATCACGGAATCCGCGGGGTCGCGCTCGCATTACTAAGACGCTATTTAACAAATCGGCAACAATACGTAAAAATTGATAATCTAGAATCAAATAGGGAAAAAACGCGTCATGATGTCCCACAGGGTTCCATATTAGGCCCTTTACTTTTCCTAGTCTATATAAACGATATCGTAAGCATTTATGGTTCCCCGGAGTTAATAATGTATGCAGATGGCACTAATATATTTTTAGTAAAGCAACTCCAGAATGCCTGGAGGAGAGGGCAAACGCCTATCTTGTAAAGCTTTCAAAATGGCTGAGTTCCAATGGGTTACAATTAAACACAAGGAAAACAAAATATGTGATTTTTAAACCAGCAACAAAACGTCTTACAAACTCCCTTAAGATTACCTTGGAAGGTGATTTAATAGATCAAGTAACTGAGCAAAAATTTCTGGGTGTGTGGTTTAACCAACAGTTAAGATGGAATACACGTGTGAGTAAACTAAAATCGGAATTATCACGAGTTCTTGGCTGTATTTATTGAGTGGCAAGCCTTGGTGCCGAGGTGGTTAGTAGAAACATTATATTACTCCTTATATTTTTCCAAAATGTGTTACGAGTTTCTTATATGGGGTGCAATTACAGCATCTGATTACTATAAATTACAAATCCTACAAAAAAAAGGTTCTACGTATATTCGAAAACTACGGGGGGGGGGGGGGGGGGGGAGAATAAGAGAACTTCAGAAGGAACCACTTTTTAATAAATACAAGATCTTAAAGGCAAATGAAGTATATTGCTTCAAATTATTTCAATTAATTTATCGAGAAAGGTTATACGCCACCCCAGTCGCAACAGAAGAATTGTACCCTTTACGTCATGTTAAAAGAAGGGAACCCTATACAAGAACAAATTACGGAACGCAGAGTATACACTATCAAACAATTAGTCTCTTAAATAACATGCCCTCTATAAACCATGCAAAGTCGTTCCCCTTATTTAAAAAAAAAGTATGTAAAGCACTGCTGGTAGGCAGCGATATAAAATTTATATAAAATTTATAAAATTTATTCAAACTTCCTAATCACAATAAAGCGTTGTATTATACTTTATACCTTCAAAGTTCATCATTGTTTTATTTTATGTGCATGACTCGCCTTGTTATACTTTGTTGGGTACATACTGTTCAGTTTCCGTAAGGTGAGCGATAATGATGTTTGTTATTTGTGTGTTCCCTAGATGACTTGTTTTTTTCCTTCATGTTGATTATAGTCTGTATTCTCGTTTTTTTTTGCATTCAGTACGCATTTTTTATCCTTATATACATGACTTTTATTGTTGCATTTGTGTTATGTATGTGTGCCTCAGTTCAGTAAAAGTTTTTATCCTGCTGAATTACTCTGTTAGATGGAATGCATTTCCATGTTATTTTTTATTTGTGGACTGTAAGGGACCGGTGCCACGTCAGGCGTTTTTTACCCTTTTTCACTGATCCTTCTTTCGGGCTCTGCCCGAAGGAAAACAAATAAAAAAACGCTGAAATTTTTCAAAGTGAATATATCAGCAAAGGGAACCTTGCTTCCGGTTTTTTTCTTCTCCTGCTGTCGTTCCATCACGGCATTCAAATTCTTATATGGCCATTTGATGGGATGCATATAAAAATTCATTTGAACTAATTAAACATGGTAATTAGCACAATACAAATGTAACGTATAGGTAACGTTACGTTCCATTTTTTTAACGATAACCGGAACGAGTTCCTTCCTCGCAGATGAAACTTGTAACGGGAATGTGTTCCAAAAATCAGAAGGAACGGGGAACGAGCTTTCGTTCCTCTTTTTGAAAAATGTTTACAACACTGGTATTGAGTTAATTTTTTTGGGGGGTAACGTGTACCTGCAGGTCTGTACCGGTGTTGCCTGAAAATTTGCTAAACACACCAACAAACATAGCTGAAATAATAACCCAAATATTGGGCCAAAGAATTTTTTCTCTCGAAGTTATTGAATATACAATATTGGTCCTCGCCGCGTTTTTCAACGTGAAAACCTCCACTAGCAATAAAGGCAATAAAGGCATTAAAAAAAACCATCAGCGGGAGGCAGGGGTTCACTCTCTGGTCTATAGAATTTGTTCCCAACTGACTACAAGCGGTTTCATGGTGTCAAATTAATGTTTTGAAAGCGCGCTCAACACCCGCGCAGAAGCAGAAAACAAATGCTCGACATAGTCAATTTTTAGACAACCCGCTCGACCTACAAACCTGCCTTCCACTGACGCCACGGTACTAGAAACGGCGGGTACATTTGAATGTTGATTTTTAGCATCATCTTCACTTCCTGATTTTACAATAACTATTCTGAATTTCGCGATATTAAATAGCATACAGGAAAGGGTGAAGGCCGGTGATTCCGAAAATATAGTTAGTTGAGGTCGCTAAAGAAATCGCGGGAGCTCCGGGAAACGTAGCATATCGTGTTTGGGAAATCAATGAAAAAACAAATATATGCGTATATAATTGCATCGAAGAAAAGTCAACGCAGAAAGTAGGAACATAAAAATGCTTAGCATTGTTTTATTTTTATGCAACATAAATTTTTATTTTTACACAGAGCGACTAGTTCATAGTTCATTGGCAGTGTTTCCCAGACCCACAAGCCGCAAACATGGTACGTAGGAAAACATTTCTAGGCTGCGCTGTTCCGGCGGACAACACGTTCGACGTCACACAATGAGATTTCACGGCCAAAACAAATTGGTCTCGTAATATAAAAATGGCAGTGTTACAAGAAATGCAGCACGTAGCTCGAGGAGGGAAAGAGGACTGGTTGATTACCTTGCACAAGCAGCAGTGTTTGTGTGAGTCGTGTCTGTTCGCATGAAAGTCTTTCCCCCAGCGTATGTAGATATGTATCTGTATTGCAAATGGCATTGCATTTTGCTCAATGAACACAAAAAGGTAAACCTTAAATAAAGTTTTCGATTAGCGATGCCCGTTCCTATGTCAGATAATAAAACAATTGAACAACTAGAGCTATCGAATGCAACTGCTCTTTTAGGTGTAATGTGATGAGTGCTTTCGCCTACTTATGTTAAGTTTGTCCGTTTTATGTGTGCACGATAAACTCTGCTTGACTTAGCAATTCACTAAACAGCTGTTCTACCCCACAAGTACGATGGGCGACCGAAAATATATATGAAAAACAATGCTTTTTTATTTATTTTTTTGTAAAGAACAACGTAAAAAAAAAAAAAAAAACAGCACCCCACAAATAGAAGAGCTATGATGGAGACATGTACAAATGCGCCCTTTGCTTTCCTGAATAACAAAAACCGCAAGAGGACAAGCCAGGAAGACACTTGTGCCGATGAGAAGGGGAAACAAAAAAGAGGAGGAAAACAATAATAACAACAACAACAATAAAAATCTCTCTAATTTAAGTGTTGCAGAAAAAAAAATGGCGCCTTTCTTGTCTTTCGCGTAATTTTCTTTTTCTTTTCCCGCCTTTCTTTTTTCTACGCTTTCACTCTTAGAGGCCCACATTCGAGTCCTTGATACAAACGGCGCAGCGGCTGACGCGGTTACGAAGCTTGCCAGCCTTGAGGGTCTCACTGACGGGCCGCTCGAACTGGAAGTCCTGCTCGATGGTGGACAGCCAGAAGCTCAGCTTGTTGGCAAAGTAGTGGCACGTGCCACGGGCGCCGTTGCACTCGATGAACGGCGTGGCACGGAAGTCCTCCAGACACGAGCCGGGGCTGGACAGGGACTGTCCGCCGCCCTCTGCACCGGCTGCGGTGTGCTGTGCGCGGAAGAGTCAGGAAAAGGGTTACGGTGGCGAAACAATAAAAGGGAGTTTTCGTAGACATCGTTTCACCCTACGTTAAGCCCTCCGCAACGAAGAAGACGCTACTGCGCCTGCGCGCCTACGACGTTGACTGTAGAGTTACGGGTACCGTAGCGGGTTGCGGAAAGCCGTTGCGGGACGCCGAAAGTGATCTACAAAAACTCCCTAATGTCACGACGGAACTACGCGTTATCCGTGGGGTAACGCGTAGTTCTGGCTGCGAAAAGTGCTTTTGAACTCTGAAAAAGTAATCACAAAATTCAGTGTGGAAGGCTTTTTAGGAGTAGTTCAATAAAGCTGTGTCGTAAATATTGATTTCATGTCATATTTGAAAGGGTGATTTTTACATAGTGTATTGATCTGTAATTGAAACAGTTCTTCTTTCGAAACTAAAGTATAAATTAAAAAAAAAGAGCGAAACATAACAAAAACAGCTAGCTGTGCAAGGAAGAGAGGGGCTGCAGCGCCTAATGTGGCAGTTTTGGTCCTTATCGAGTTCACTCCTTTTTGAAACTAGCGCTGTAAGGCAACTGGGCTTTAGTTTCCATCGTTGTCCCCAAACCCTTAATACAATGACCTGATTTCACCTTCGCGAATTATTAATTCTGGTAAATTTGGGCTAATATAGTATCGGCGTTATCAGTCAAACAGACCGTATCAAACCGGAAAAAAATTTAAATCTGGTTTTTCGCAACTTTACGCGTACATACTTCTCGGCCGCACTGCCAAACGTGTTCATTGAGACGCGACTCCTTCCAAGGTGGGCACAGTGTAAAGAAATCGCTATAACATGAGGTTATTCAGTGGGGAAGACGAGGATATCATGCTCCAATGACCTTCATGAAACCTTTTTTTTAATGTTTTGTAAAAGCGGCCCACTCTTATTATAAAAGGCAGTCTTGGCGCCGATTACTTCAAGACAGAAAGTATTTTGCAATGAGCCTGTATTGATTTGGGATATATTTTCCTAGCGACATTTAAAAACGCTGCTGAGATCATAACCCTTTAGAGTAGTCAAACTTAAGGAACATTACAGATAATTATAGGCTCAAACATTTCGGGAAGACACTGGAGATTTAGATAGACGACCCCGGTTAGGCACTGCTATCCTTCTGCGGCGTTGGCTCTGCTGACTCTGTACAATGCTATAGTACAGTTCTACGAACCATGGCGAAGCTGTATCCAATCCACAGTTGGTTCCAGCCGCCTGATGGACACTCCGGAATGGACATGGACTGACTGTGCACGGCGATGACATTGGCTGGCGCCTCGCATACGACGCAGCGACTGATGTATTGCTGGATAGTGGCTTCACCCACTGGCATCATGGGAATCGGGGCATTGGTCGAGAGCCAGTAGGACTTGTCGTTTCGGCTGGCGTAGTTGCACACGCTGTTGAAGTCGCAGAACAAGAAAGGCATCGTGCTGAACCTCCGGAGACAGGATCCAGCGTAACCTGGTGTAAAGGAACAATAAGTACACCACAAAACGATCAAAACAATAAATAAAAATAAACAGAGATGATCAAATTAGGAATCAATAGACACTTTTCAAAATTTTGAAACAATGCATAGATTATGTGCGGACGTCATTAGTTGGTCATGCACTGTGAGCACGCATTGGACACTAGCGTTTCGTCGGCATTCGGAGCGGACTCGGATCGAAAGGCATTCCACACGAGCAGACTTGGGAAGTAACGGATTACTTGTAATCCGTTACTTTTTTAAGTAATTTTGTAAATTCCACGTTACTTTTTTTCGGAAGTAATTTGTAATATAATTTCGTTACAAAATATTGGTAACTGATTACTTTAATTACTCGTTACTTAAACATATGAGCATAATACAGTAACTGGAGCAATACGAGCAGAACATTCAGCAGCATAAAGAGAGCAAGTTCAACAAAGTAGAAAACATCAGCAAGGGGAGAATAGCCGAAACGAAAACACGATATTTTGTATGGCCGGTCACTAGAACCGCTAAAGAAACGGGCAAGGCATGTTCAAATATACGAAAGATCAAGTAAGACAACGCCGAGTAGGTTCTCCGTCGCCTTCCATTGTGTTTTTCTTCTTCTCCCGGGCAGGCGAAAGCTTTTCGTGTTTGTTTTGTCTTTTACACCGTTTTCCCCTTTCTAAATTTTTCGACGTCTCCCGCCACCTGCACAAACATCAAACGCGGGTCCGTACCCCCCCGTTTCGCGGGTTCACAACTCGCGTGACAGACCATGTAGCCTTGCACGAAGAGGACTAATTATCTTTGTCCTTTGATGTGCGCTACTTTATTCAACCACACTCTTGAGGCACGGCTGAAAAGCGTGCGGCGCGAGGCTAAGAGCACCCACTTCGAGGGTACGGGCGATACTTCTTTTGGTTTACTTGTCTGGGCATGGTGGTCGAGTCCACTCCTCACTTTACAGTCAACTCTCAACATAAAGGGGAGGGGGGGGGGGGGGGTTAGGCCATCTAAGGAGTGCCGACAGAGAGAGAGAGAGAGATAACGCGTAAAAGTGGTGTGGCCTCTATAGTTTTGTGAGGCCGATGTCCACCGCTTCTCTCGCTCTCTATGCCCTCCCCTACCCTGTCGTCTACGAATATTGGTATGAAAGTGAGAACCGATGAAACGATCGACAACCCGTAACCGCGAGTTTTTCTCTGACTGGTGGAGTTTTCGGTCATGGAGTGTTCCTCGTCTCTATGGTCATGTCTTAATGAGATGTTTAAAATTTAGGGCATTAAGGAGAATGGAAACCTAAAGTTTCAAAGCATGCTTTGCTTGCAAAAAAAAATTGTTATCAGCAAGAAAAAACAAACTAATTTACGGAAACACATCAAGGTAAGCTGCGACACCTGCATTCTGCATTGGCTATACATTGTAACGTTAGAATCAAGTTATTCGTTTCTTGTGAATAACGGGCGAAACACCCGAGTCGAAAAGGTGCTCTCGTAGATCGCTTCTGTAGCTCCGAACCTTGTAGCGGAGGTAGATGCTGCTACTGAGCATGCGCATCGCTAGCTTTGCACAATTTCAGGGATCATTTCCGGAGGCCGTAAGCTAGCGGGATGGCGGGTGTGGTTGCAGCTTTCGGTGCCTTGCCAGCTTACAGGTGGACGGACTGCACCTACACTCTTTCTCTTAAATACAATAGTTTATTTTTACAAGGACAACCATAATAGGGGCGTATGAGAAATGAAAATTAGTGTTGCAAAATATTTTTGAAAAATATAATATTGTTTCTATTGCTTTATGGATCAGTGTACGGAAAAAGTAAGGTGAAAGTAATTTGCAACGTAACGAGTAAAGTAATCCGTTACTTTTCAGAGAAAGTAATTTTTAACGGTAATTCATTATATTTGAGGCTCGGTAATTTGTGATTGTAATCCATTACATTTTCCAAATTAACGAGCACAAGTCTGCACACGAGTGCTGCGTAAGTGTTCGACGCGAAGCGATGAGACCAACAAATGGCGGCTGCGCATAATCTATGCATCATTTCACAATTTCGGAAAGAGTCTATTTGCCGCATCAGACACTGTGATTTGAAATAAATGAGAATAGAGGGCTAACGAGTTTTGTGTTTTCATATATGGGACACTTTTTGTTTTGTATGCTTGAGTCTATCATGGTAGCCTCATACCATGATAGACTCAAACCTCGTCACTAAAGCGAACGAAGGAGCTTTGCAGCACACCAAGATGATGCTTTTAATACTTAAGACTTAAGAAACGCAGGACGTTGTTTATTATGTTTACAAGCTTTGCTTCGTGATTGGTTTTCCGGCGTTCTCATCGGTCAATGCAGCAATCTCATTGGTTGCGGAGCGACAATATGCCTGGGACTCGACACGCACTGTGTTCCTTTATCTGTCAGTCACCCAAATCGTACCATCCCCGAGGCCGGTATTTCTTTGTGTAATACCAAAGAACTCAAAATCTAAATGTTTCAGCAGCCATCCTAAAGGGATCGGGAGGAAGCCTACCCAAATCTTGGTTGTGAGATTTCTCGTTGCCCTCGATGTAAAGCAGCGAGTAGCCGTCCCACAGCTGCGTCATTCCGTTGAAGCAAGTGGGCACGGTGGACGACTGGCTATGCCTCACGAGAAGGATGCCCATGAGGTAGTCTCCGCCGGGCAGACCCACGGGGCCGGGGTTGCCAGGGGGACCTGCGACGCCATTCAGACCCGGCGCTCCTGGAAGACCTGGAAGACCCCTGTCGCCCTTCTGGCCAATCGGTCCAACGGGTCCCGGAAGTCCCGGTGGTCCCGGCCGACCGAGTTCTCCCTTCAGGCCTGCACAGGACGACAAACTTGTTTTAAGGGCAGGATTCATGCAAGATCCAACAAGTTCTAATATCAAGATAAATTGAAGAAGAGGAAGATACGAAACTGTTCTGTGACGTCTGAAAGCCTCGCTCAGACTGAAAGGATACTGGGTAGACGCAAAAGGTAGCTGCCTTTGTCACTAACCATACTCTCCTTCTAATCAGAGCGAACAAGCGCACCGTCTTCTTGTCACGCAGAATCTGGTGTTCAAACTCCGGGCTCCGCACCCTGACGTACCGTCACCCTCTTACTTTTCTTCTCCTTCAGTTTCTCCCCATAGAGCCTTTGTAACATCTATAGCACCTGAAGCGGAAAACTCAACAGGGAGGGAGGCGCAAGTTCAGCTTAAGAATTACGAAGGATTAAGGCACTTGCTCCAGCTTTCCACTTGGGTAATTTCTTGACGAAATACTATCTTACCCTTTTGCCTCTAAAGTTTTTATGTCTTTAGTGTTACTTTCGCTCTACCACCATCGCGAGTTATAAAAACTTAATTTTTGACAAACTTTAATTTACTGCTACGGAACTGATACAAATTGAGCATTCCACCAGCACCCTGAAAAAATGTTACTGCGTTCCACTTGGTTCCATTCGGTGCATTACATTGCAGGAGGATCTAATCTGAGCGTACTTATTATTGCAATTAAATGACTGCGACATAACTTATGTTTCTAACCCCCAACAACATTATATGAAAACACGTAGCCCGAAAATATCTAGAAGCACAGTATCAATGAAACATCAGTAATGGGTTACAATATCTTCTGAGCAGTCTATGTACGCGTTTTGAAGGTGTTTGTTACGGGGTTAGTTTTATACACGGAGATATCAGCGGAGTTAAATGTTCTTGATGGAATGTACCGTAAACATCAGTGACAGGAGGAATAGCAAATCTTACAATTAATTTTTGATCTTTATACTCCAAATCAGATCTCAGTGATTCAAAATTTAGGGTATGAAATAAATGCTCTCGCCAGCAAAACGAAAAAAAAAAAAAAACACGCGTGAAGTAAGGTAAATATAAGAACAATGGACAGGGAAAAGTTAATAAGTCAAAGATGCGTACTGTCGGAGTTACTAATTCGAAGTTTATTACGACGTTTCCAGAGGGGACCGCTCTTCACCTGATGAAGAGCGGTCCCCGCTCGAAACGTCGTAATAAACTTCAAATTAGTAACTTAATTTAATATAAATTAAGTTAGAAACGTCGTAATATAAATTAGTAACAGTACGCATCTTTGACTTATATATATATATATATATATATATATATATATGTCTGTGTGTGTATATTAGGCTGGCCTGCTCGGTTTGCAAGTTATTCAACATGCGACGTCACCCCACTGGAAAGCGCGGGAAAATTTGAATGTTTGTTTTGGCATCAATCTTGAATTTCCGTTTTCTCAATGACTATTTTAAATTTAGACATAATAAACATGTCGAAGAGACTAAAACCTGGTATTCCGGGAATGTGTTTAGTTGGGGTAGTTCAAGCAACCACCCGAGCTTCACCTTAGAATATCTTTTAAGACGTGTAGGTTTGGTCGTATTGAAAAAACCGGAGACGACGTACGAAGAAGGGGACAAACCCAAAACGTCTCAACGTTTTGCGTTCGTCCCCTTCGTCTGCTGTCTCTGGCGTTTTCAAGTATGTGTATCATCAACCAGCTCGTCTGTTTACTTACGCTTTCTTCAGTTTGGTCTCTTTTTGGTTTTGATTGATTTCAGGCTGTCGGTTTCTTTGCTAGACCCCGAAAGGGACCTACCTGGGAAGCCTGGTAGGCCGTCGAATCCCTTGGGTCCAGGGGGACCAGAGGCTCCCGGGAGGCCAGGTAAACCTCGGTCTCCTTTGTCGCCCTGCAGAATGTTGGCTGGTCCGGGTTCTCCTTTCTGCCCGGGTAATCCGTTGATACCTGTATGGTAATGCACGGTTGGCATTGCCATGTGCAGATGACAAAGCAGAACGAAGAAGGCACCACTGAAATCAGTTTCTCGGCAAGTAATCATTAGGAAAAACATGGGAAGTTTATGCTTTATCGGAAATGCTAAACCTCAAATGCTTCTTAAAGGCGTTGCTTTTACATACCATGATATTTTTTTTTTGCAAAATATATTTCGATTTCATAAAACATTCGTAATTTTAGAATGGAATCTTGGAGGAGTATTTTTTTTTTATATAGATATTAGTGAGGAGCCAAACTTTTGCCGAATCAAAAATTCGCCGCCGAATTTTACGATTTGGTAAGGCCGAACTTCTGCCGAACGTTTCTAAACATTCGGAAAAAATACATTATTACGAGACTTAACGCTGGTATTTAGTTTTTTCGAGCGAAAAAAGGTGTTATTTTTGCTCTTAACTTAAATGCAACGTGTAATGCATATTGGCACAGTTATGACTAAATAAGGGGTTATTTTAGAAGATAATTGTACCGGTGTCCTTTTTGTGTGCTCACTGGCAATTTTACAGTGACTTCTTGTAAAAGTGGCGTCACAACGACGTTGAGTAGTAGCGAGCGCAGTCGTGAATCACGCTACGAGAGTTTCGCTTTTGAGGCCTCATCAGCGCAACCCTGGAAGTGTGTACAATTGTTAAAATAAAGGCCATAACACTGCGTTCTTACTTTCTTTGTGAGTTACCGTTTCTTGCGCGAGAACGAATGCAACGGTCGAATGAGCCTTCACAAGAAGAGATAACAGTATTATTGTTAATTTGCATGTTTTTTTTCGATCTGAGTAACTTGACGTCAGCTTTGCATGAAAGTGTGCTTCCCATATCCGCAGCGTCTCGTTTTTAACATTTAAAATGCCGGCTTCTGATCTTAGTACACACACGGACATTTTGAGGAGATGAAAAGGGTTAGAAATGTCGGATGTGCAACGTCAAGCATGATAGTTCTCTATTTACTTTTACGCAGATACATGAAAACCGCGAAATAACGCTAATTAAAAAGCAACTTTATATTGTTTTGGCACAAACTACTTCTGAGCTGAAAACAGGATTGTTATGCGAGAAGTGTTTTAAAGTAATTGTCAGTCAATGTTTCAACTACCTTGTTGCATCACTGGAAAGGTCAAATGAAAATCACGTTATCCAGAATGTACCGCATCATTTGTCACTTGCGCAGTTGACCGAGTAAATTACTGGTTTATCTTCTGTTCTTGAGGAATAAAATATTGAAGAGAACTATACTAGCAAAGGCTCACAAACGCACAGTTACCGTGTTTGCCATTTGCGTGTTGCCTACTCCACACCTCGAAGTAACCGCTGGTTGTACTACACTTGATGATAACCGCACTACCGCACGGCGTCCAGTTTCAATCCATCGTCCCCTCGCATTCTCGCGCGTGCGCAGACATTTACCAAATTTTTGCCGAATCTTTGCCGAACCTTCCTTCAATAGTTCGGCATGTGCCGAACCATGTCGAATCTGAAGTTCGGCAGATTCGGCCCATCACTAATAGATATGCAGCACAAATGCGTGGACGAAAAAAGCCGCTACCGCATCGCTGTAAAGCGCCTTTCCTGTCTTTGTTCGCCTTTTGTAATCTGCATCTTTAAATATAAAAACGTAATGTTAAACTCACAGAAACAAAAATCGGAACCGGCCAGGGGCCTGGGTAAACTCTAGTTCGCTCTTCCGCGTGGAAAATAAATACGTTCAACATTTAATGAAAGCAAAAGAAAATAAATAAATAAACAGTCAATTACCTACAAGATATTACGACATATGTAGAATTATCTAAGATCATCCAATTTAAAAGTATACACAGCGTGTTACATTGTACTTCCTACCAAGAGGACAAACGCTTGATAAGCCAGTGAGTTGTTTGACGTCTCAATGCAAATGAAACCGGCAAAAAAATATCCCACACACACATTCAAATGAGCTTTAGCATGTAAGTAGTTTACCGGGGGGTCCGTCCAGACCAGGTAGTCCAGGATACCCGGCATCTCCTTTCAGTCCAGCAAGACCAGGAATTCCAGGGAAACCAGCGTCACCCTTATCTCCCTTGACTCCCGGTGGTCCGGGGAACCCGTCTTGACCTGCATAAAAAGAAAAGCAAAAACATTTTCTTTGGCGGATTATTGTAGCTGCGGCACACTATTCTAGCTTTAGTTCGGATATTATTGAATCTTCCAATTCACGAAAACTTCTCCTAATGTTGGATGTGTGTTTTACAGTGGTAGCTGTTACGGGCCCGACCCCCGGTTTCGCAACGGCGTGAGCGTAAACGAAGCTTCCCTGCTAAATTTGGCAGAAACACCTGCACCAATTAAGTTTGCCCGTTAAATTAAGCGGAAAAAATTGACGTTAAGTGACCTATGGATCAATTCAGTTTCCCCGCTAAATTTAACGGAAAACTTTGCGATAATATGACGATTGTCATTCTCATCTCAAGCAGCACAGCTTTCGCTGTCCAAACGCATCATGCCTCCTAATCGTCCCACAATTTTTCATTTTTGACTTGAGAAACACGCGTACAGAAGCGTTCTATCATTAGCTTTCTTAGTATGAACTATAAAGGAAAATTCACGAAAACCTAAGCAAATGTTTTTCGTTATTTTCTTTTGGAACTTCTCTTGAGATTATGCAACGTGGGGTAAGTCAATAGAAAAGTAGGGCTCGTTCTCGAAAGTTCACGCCATTCAGCCGCATGTATTCGTGGGCTTCGTCGGACGCCATTTTCCCATTGACAATTTTTAAGAATCGCTTCTAACGTTTGAAAAAAATTAACGGTTAATTAAAGAAACTTTGCAATCTCGTTCGTTCTGCCAACGCTATTTTTGGGTAGAATTTGAGCGCTCGACGATGCACAGTTTAGTTTTGCAATTAAAGAAAGAAACTCTAAATCGGGGGTGGCCAGAGTGGCATGGGGTTAGAAGCGCAGACAAAACTACAAAAGTATTTAAAAAAAACGCAAAAAAAAACAAAGAAAGAAAAGGGGGGGGGGTTTACTTTTAACACGAAACGATATGGAGGAGCAGTGCTTTCGAAAGGGGACAGGCATAATTGTCGACTACACCAAGTAACACCAGGCAGCAGGACGTTTCTTCAATCGATAAGGAAATGAATGCACGGTTTCTAACCAGCCACTGTCCCTAACGCCCGTTATACGTATACAGTTTGAAATCCTTTTTAGGACAATAAAAGAAACAGCACTAGACACATCTATATGTCAAAAGGCAGTCCTGCTGTATGTACGTAGCATTGTAAAAGGCTGGCCAAGACTGTGATCTTTTTTTTTTTTAATTTAGCAACTTTTTTTCGTTTTGAGGACGCAGGATGGGAAGGGGGGCACGCTTGCCGGGGAGCCGCGAGCCGCACTTGGACCCGCAAAGTTTGGCCTCCCCTGTTCTAAATATTTTTTTTGGGAGAGACCTATACTTCGTTTCAGCTTCGGTCCAGACGCGGCCAAAGCTACAAGCGCGAGCTCCGGGCTTTCAGCGTCCCTGCCAAGCACGCGCGCTCGTGCAGTGCAAGCACTGTTCTGGGCCACATGCTCGCGCTTGTACCATCGGCTGCGTCTGGACCGAAGCTGAAGCGAAGTATAGTACAAATGTCATACAGTCTGGCGCGCGCGCAGTATTATCCAAGAATGCTTATATGAATCTTGAAGAGTCATTAAAATATATACTCGATGAAATTGAACGAATCCTCTTCATCTTCAGAGAAGACGAAAGTTAACGAAGACTTTATTCGAGACCACTTCTGATCGAAGTCGGAGAAGCAGATGCATGTGTTGCGTACCTGGTAAGCCAGATGGACCTGATGGTCCTGGTAGTCCAGGGGGCCCCGGGTACCCGGCGTCTCCCTTCTCTCCCGGAAGGCCTGGGAAGCCGTCCAGCCCCTTGGGGCCGGGGTAGCCGTCCCTGCCTGGAAGTCCCGGGGCTCCGGGGAATCCTCGGTCACCCTTGGGACCGGGCATGTCACCAGCACTGGACTCTCCGGGAGGACCCCTCTCCCCGGGGAAGCCGGGCAGTCCGGCGTCACCTGCGTGGGAAATGTTGTGGGAGTCATTTTCTTCAGGATAGGAACTACTGATGTCCTCGAGCGTCACTGAGAGGTAAACGTTATGGTCATGCGCTTTCTTCATTGACTTTTCCGAGGACATAAAAACATTTTCGGGTGCCCACGTCGCAAGAAAAAAATACCCAAACAATCAGATTCATTGCACTGGAAGGTCTCCCTTGAGGGTACATCATATTTTTTTGACAGATCAAACAAACATGCGATCCACGATCTAATGAATGTGGAGAGCATGTATCTATTGGTTTTTAGTAAACGCTGATTTTTTTCGAGGGAAGTGACTATGAAAGCAACCTTATTTTTTATTGTCAGAATTACAATCTAAACGGCTTTAGTTTGAATTAAGTATATTGAACTGCAATCATCATAACTTGGGAAGGAAAACAACAACAACAAAATATCTAACCGATTTCGTGTCACAATTAAAAAAGGAAGCCTCTGAACACGTTGGAACAAGTGAGATCTACCTTCTTCCCAAGAATATAGCAGTCATCCGCTTCCCGTGTTTTGTTTGTTCTGAGTTGTCAGATCAAACATAAATGATAGAATTCAGATGCCTGAAATCATTCATAATCGCGCTTTCTCTCTGTTTTAGTCGAGCAATGAGGAAGCCTCCAGGCGATGCTGCTTCTCTCACCCTTGAGTCCAGGTAGTCCAGGGAAACCGTCGGCACCCGGTCGGCCCCGGTCGCCCTTCTCTCCATTGGCTCCTACGCCTCCTCGGCCCGGCGGGCCTTGCAGACCCGGAGCTCCTGGCTCACCTAGAAGAAGATCACGTGGATTTAAATAATCACTTAATCGACACCGACGTAGGGGATTGATTTACTGTAGATTCTTTATGCGAAAACGAATCACCACAAGAACTATTGCTCGGCACATTCTAAGAAATCTGGAGTGTCTACTTTACCGCAAAGCACTTGGAATAGCGAATTGCTGCAGTCTAAGCAGGAAGTTCGGTAAATGACGACGTTGGAAACATGTTGGATGGTGAGAAACGTTAATTAAAAAACACTTTTAGTCATCGTTAATAATTACCCCGGCATGTTGCTCGATGATGAGAAACGTTAGGCAAAATACTCTTTTAGTCGTCGTTAATAATTACCCTGGCCAAAGACAACATCAGATGAAAGTGTAATCAATCGGAAATCGACAGTGTTCGAAACGCTATTGTTATAGTTCGTCAGAGTTATATATTTCGCCCGTAGGAGGTCCAGGACCTGGTCACAAGGTTCGATTTGCTTAGAATCTCTATCGACAACTGAGAATAGCAAGTTAACGTTTCAAAGTAAGCTCCGAAAGTATAATGTTAAATAGTTTTAAGATTAACTATAGAGCGTGTCGGGAAAGCTGATTTGACACAAAGAGAATAAAACAAACTCGGAACAAAACAGGACGAACATATCTTCTCCTTTAGTTTTACAAAGATCTGTTTTTTTGTGTTTTTCTTTTTTGTATTTTGTTTCGAGTTTGGTTTATTCTTCCTGTGTAAAGTTCAGTAGTTTTAGAATAGGTTTCTTGTGAAACCATGACGATTTTAGTGCTGATGAGTTTGGGAACATTCACCAGCGTTGGCGTCATCTTGCAAACGTGTCAGTTAACTAAAGCTTAAAGGCGGGCATCCTAGATATGTAAAAAAAATTCTTTTAGGCATTTTTAAAAATATATACAATTTCCTCTTGTCAAAATTGTAACTGAATGATAGAAAGAGAAAGATAACAATGAATGTTGCACCAGCACCAACTAGTCACAAATTGTTGAAATATAAAAGTAATTTTTAAAACTACGGCTGCCAGACAGTTTCTCAGTTAGGCACAGGTATTTAATCATGACCAGTTCACGCGACCGAAGAACATTGCAAAGAGCTGCTTTCTTACTTTTTATTCAAAGTGGGGTAGAGAAGCAGACCTACTTTCCAAAACGCCGTTTTATGTTTGAAACATACTAAACCCTTTTTTGTATGATAATGCATTGCTCCGTCATGTGATTTATTCTTGTACAAAAGAAGTTTAATAGCTATGACTATATTATTTACAAAAAAATAAACCAGCGAAATATTGCAAGATTAAAATTTATGTTGATTTAATTTAATAATTTGTCCAAAGCCACGAGATGTTCTTTAGACCTTCCCACAAATATCATAATACCAGCAGAACATATATCCTCAAATTGTTTTTAACTTCATCTTCAAGAAGAATTCTTCTTTACCTAATACATTTTATTGCTGTGGTACAAGGGCCCGATTCGACGCGTACAATATGTCTTCAGTACTTTTGACATGCCAAAAGATTTTAGTGCTGAAGTGGTCTCAAACTCACCTGGGAAGCCTCGCTCTCCGTCGAGACCATTGAGCCCTGGCGCTCCTGGGAATCCTCGGTCACCCTTTTCCCCTAGGGGCGACAAGCATTTCGTAGTTCGAGTGTTCATTATCAGTGAACAACAATCAGGCTCGTGGTTTATGTCTTTTAATCTTCAGCTTTAGTCGACGTTATCTTATATTTCAGTCGAGCGCTTCGCTGACAGATTTTCTCTCAGCTTCAACGGCGAAACGGTAGTGCGCACCCGCCCTGCTTTACGGTGGCTGCACACCTAGTGATCTAGTGATAACCCAAACAAAAATAAACCTGTCTTCTCTGTTTAATTTTTTTTCTTAAACCTATTTGATTATAGGAATCTGGGACTTATTTAGGTTTATCAGCTACACAGGTCCCAAAGAATGCAATCTATAGAGATGATGGCAGTGTAGCCTATATTTCAATATGGAATGGAACCGCAACTTCTATTGAAAGTTGAAGAAAACTGTGGGAGGTAACAAAGACTATGTTTTGAACCCCCGAGGTAATGATTTTGTGAAAGCTCCTACCTGGAAGTCCTGGTGTTCCATCGTAGCCTCGCGTTCCTTTCTCTCCCGGAACTCCTGGGAAGCCTGGGGTGCCTTCGTCTCCCTTGAAGCCTTTCTCTCCTTTCTCACCTTTGAGGAGGAGATAGAAGGAATCAGTACTGTACAACATTTAGGTATTCTATTAATCCAAAGTTTTGAAGTTAATTTACTCGCAAAATACGACTAGCAAAAAGAAATATTTTAACCGCGCATCTTGCGAACATCTACCACTATAACTGTGCACTTTACAAGTAAATGGTAGTAAATATCATAGCAAAAGCTCCACGAAATCTGTTTAGTGTTGTAAGTCAGATCGGGACTATAATATCACCTGGAAGGCCAGGGTAACCGCGGTCTCCCTTGAGACCCCTTATGCCGTCCAAGCCCGGGAATCCCGCTGGGCCCACGGGGCCAACGGGCCCTGGCAGGCCCGGAGCCCCCGGATATCCATCGTTTCCTCTGTCGCCCTTGGCACCGGGGAAGCCATCATTGCCGTCCTTTCCTTTCAGTCCGGGGAAGCCGGGCTCGCCATCACGGCCCGGCTGACCCGGTGCTCCAGGAAGGCCGGGGTAGCCCTACGAGGTAATCGTTCATGCGCTTTTCATGCACATGATTGTCTGCAGTCACTGGCTGCTAAAGTAACTCAGGGTGTGGAGAATTCCGTGCGTCTTGCTCCGCAGCCAATGAGTTTGCGGCACAAGTTTATAAAAACGCCGGATCACGATGCGCGATCATAGTGGACCAGTTGTCTGCTGTGATTATGCGCAGCGCAAGAACCCACTATGCTTCCAATCAGAGCCAATCAGAGCTCCGAGTTTTTACGTCAAAAAGCAGAAAAATTTGCGCTGCACCGCATACTAAAGGCTAGACCACACCATGGGCTAGACTGAAAGCAATGCACAATGCGAAGAACAAACAAGAATTTTGAGAATGACTAGCGATCCCATGCAAGAATATTGTATAATCGTATCTGTATCCTTGATTCTAGCGTATGTCAGCTTTTTGACATGTTAATGCGGTGTCAGCGCAAATAGTTAGATTCGTGATCTGACGTACTCGGTCTCCCTTTGCTCCCGGGAATCCGGAAAGACCCTCGGAGCCTTTCTCGCCCGGAGTTCCTGGGAATCCATCGCGACCGTCGTCTCCCTTGTCTCCCGGAAGTCCTTGAAGGCCAGGCAGACCACGGCCAGGCAGACCAGCATCTCCTTTAGGTCCCATGACTCCGTCGAATCCTGAGCGGTGTCAACGGCGTATTTAGCACATAGACTTCTCCTAATTTACATAAAATGTATATTTGTGGAAATAAAAAAATTAATAAAAAAACTTCTATGAGAACTGTAATGTCTGAATGGTATTCTTACCATTTGCTAATGGCGTATGTATTGTATGTTTACACTCTGCAAAGCATACACGCACTGCAAGTTGCAAGTGGATAGAAAGGAGAACGACATCAATGCCAAGAATAACTCGTCACCGCGAATGCGCCACTTTTGTAATAAATAGGTCTCAAAGAGACATCTCCGCTTTTGCAAATATTATTTGGTAGTATTCCCTTACAACACGAAGTCAGACTAGCAGTCCATAAAATAACAACTCATTAAAAACCATCGGGACGCTGTGAGCGTATGTTACCAACGCCACAGATCTAACCGTTGATCGAACTGCTTAAAGGTAGCGAGAGAAAAAGATTAATGTGATGCTTGTACAGGGCTGTAGCAGTTATAGTTTTGATGGTGCAACTTTCTTTAAAATATTTTGTCATATTTTGAAGCTTGCAAGTATGCCAATATTTTTATTGAAAAGACATCTGTTCTGGAATCGTCATTGACACCCCTTTAAGGCTCGTTCACACACTTGCGACCTGTTAGAACCGGGTGCCTTAGAACCTCTTAATATCTCTTATTACGAGGGGACACACTGGCGCCATCTATTGGGTTGCAGTGTAAAATTGGTGGTCCGGCATATTTTCTATTTTTCTTGCGCATTATCCTTTCTTTCTAAGCTGGAAACACTTTTGTCAACGTTATAAACAAAACTTTCTCATAGGCATTACGCACATTTGACCTGGGAAATCCGGCGAAACCTTCGCTCTTGTGAAATGCAGTTCCAGGGTAGCGTGCCAGCGTCCAGCGTAGCGCGCTAGCGTGCCGGTGTGTTCCCTCGTCGTAAGAAATTTTAAGAGGTTTCAACACGTCTCGTCTCTCTCGGTTGTACTCGGTTGCTACAGTGTGAACGGGCCTTTATTCGTGGGGGTAGTTACGTTGGTGAACATTGCAGAACATACTAAGAACGCATGGTTTATGAATGGGTCGCACCGAGGTGTCTAATCAACGCAGCGTGCTGGTGATCATTCCCACTTGGTCTTGCCAAAAATAAATTTTGTGGTCCGGAATGTACGCTGTTTAAGGTGCGGGCTTAGCGGCTATGCCACCAGGATCGCCGCTGATAAGGCGTTCATGCAAGCCGCCATGTATACGTTTTGGGATAGCTTTGGATGAATACAACGCTGTACCTGGTGCTCCTGGTTGTCCCGGTGGTCCCCTTGGACCAGGTAGACCCGGGAATCCTCTCTCTCCCTTTTCGGCCGCAAATCCTGGAAGACCCTTCTCTCCGGGCGCGCCGGGCAGACCCGGCTCGCCCTTGACTCCCGGAAGACCTGGCGGTCCGTCGAAGCCAGGGGCGCCTGGGAAGCCCGCGTCTCCCTTTTCTCCCGCGGCTCCCGGGAAGCCGTCACTGCCGCGCACTCCGGGAAGGCCGGGTAGGCCGGCAGGCCCTCTGTCGCCCTTTTCGCCTGCGTGTCCAGAAATGTCCAGTGAGGCAAATAGACGAAGCCAACGTCTTATTTGCGTGATATCTTTATACACAGTGGCTCTCGGGTGTTCTTCAGGCATACGTTTCTTAAACCCAGATTTTATAGTAGTGAAAACAGATGCAACAGAAAACAGATGCAGAAACAGGAGAAGAGTATCTTCTCCTGTTTCTAGGCACAGGGTTACTAAAAAGACTGATTTAAAATCTAGCACCATGTTGAAGTGTTCATGATACTCTTTGAGTCACAGTTTTGGTTGTTGTTTAATAAGTAGAGCACTCAGTCTATTAACGGTTAAGCCGTGCAAGACAAGCAATGGTCTGCTAATGCGGAAAACACAGGGAAAATATAGTACTGACAATTTTTAATGTGTGAGCACACATTTCTTTTTTTTTTAAGATGCGTAATCGTTACGTTTTGTGTTTTATGCTTTATATGTTTTTTACTACGAGTCTATCTGCTCCATGCCACATAAATCCACACCACGAACGGCATGGTAGATGGCAACAACTTTCCCTTTGTCGGTGGTACTTTTCATTCTCTTGAACCTACTGACGGGCTTGTGTGCGAGAAAAGATTTACTTTCATAATATATTGATCGTTAGTACTGATCACAGGTAGCAGCACTCTTACCTCCTCTCCTCCGGACGGGGCAATACATTGCTTATTTGGTTTGTACAATAAATAGCAAGTTACTCATGGAGCACTTTTTGTGCCACTGCGCCACGCAGTCTTCTTTTCTCTGGACGTTGCAGTCAGGCACGGTTGTGTTCTTCGCTTGGTTTTTGCCAGTTTATTATTATAAATTGGCAAAACCAAGCGAAGAACGTAACCGTGCCTGACTGCAACGGCCAGAGAAAAGAAGACTGCGTGGTGTAGTGGCACAAACACGCCAGATTCATTAGAATGCAAAACAATTATTTCTTGTCTATGGATTCTTAGAGCCCTTTTAACATAACGAGGTTCAATTGACTCTGCCGTTGTACCTGGAAGTCCTGGGAATCCGGAGGAGCTGTCCCTTCCCGGCTCTCCGGGTAGACCCGGTTGTCCGTCGTATCCGGGGAGTCCAGGAAGACCAGGGAGTCCTCCCTCGCCCTTCGCTCCAGGAAGGCCCGGGAATCCAGGGTTTCCAGAGTCGCCGGGGTATCCTCGGTCGCCTTAAAGGGGAAAAAGACCGCACTGTTCTCTTTTTGACCTCTTTGATATAATCCATTACTTGACCGAAAATGAATAAACATTGAAGCTACAAAGGTCAAATTACGAACACAGAAAAGTTGTACACCTCCACCTTCTATTTAATAAAAAGTATTGGTTGATCTTGTTGAAGTATATAAATTCAGCTCATACTGAGAATTGCCAGTTTCGTTTGTTAATCTTATTCACTGTATAGACATATTAATGCTAATAAAACTGTTGCAGGCTGTCCAGTTTGCTACGATAAATGCAAAGCGGTCGTCTTATGTTCTTCAACATTTCTACGGGATATTTCTGCACGGAGTCGTGCAGATTGCTAAAAACAAATTGTGAAAAAATTATGTGTGTGCGTGTGTGTTTTGAGGGGGAATTTTTATTTAAGACGAGTTTGAATATTTACCCTTCCTACTCTAATAGCGAGGATAGCTTATGTACAAAAATTCTAGGTCAATATGGAGTGACAAAATGAAAGCATAAACTTAGCGTCTAAATATCGGACCTAGAATGTCAGGTGCGAGTTTTGTTTTTAACCATGCTGGCACTTTTAGATGCAGTTTTCAGATGGCCATGTGTTCGTGAAATTTTTAAATTAATCACGTCAACGCACACGCCCTTTTTCTGTGCAGGGACGTGCCCCATATGTCCACTGTTTCTGAATGGATCAGAAAAAATAATGAAGTCTATGAACTGTCCCTGATATCGCTCACGCGGTCGCTTTCAAAGTTTAAGGTTCATTGTAATAAGGTCGCAAGACTGAGGCGACCTCATACCTTTGGGTCCCACGGGTCCGGTGATACCGGGGGGTCCAGGGGGTCCGGGGGCCCCCTCAAGAGCTGCGTCTCCCTTACTTCCTTTCTCACCAGCAAGACCGGGCAAGCCGGGGAAACCGGTGTCACCTTTCTCGCCAGGGAATCCGGGGAGTCCAGGTTCGCCTGGAATTCAATCAACCGAGGTGTCTAATCAATCGCACATTGTTTCCAAACGTTAATTTTTTTTTTTATGGCAATAAGATATTGGAGTTTGTTTGCAAATTATACTATAGCACTTTCTGAAATTCAAAAATGTAATTGCTGCACTTAACGACATCGTTCTAAACCGTATTTTTATCTTTTTTTTTTGTACTTTTGCATTTATTCCACTCTACTATCGCCCTCATGGGAGAGCCGCATTATCGCTAAATAAAGAAAAAAAATTAAGCAACCTTTTTTCCAAGTCGTTTCTACGGCATGATTTTTCCCATTTCAACTGGATTTAATCGGAAATCATCACGACTCGGGACCTGTGTTTCCTTAAACTTTATAACTGCAGCTGGGATATCTACAAGAACCCAAGCATGCACTAAGGCACTTTCTTCGGAGAAACTTTGGCTGCTAGGTTTGAAATAAACAGAGAATGCCCTCAAAAGCAGTGGTGAGTATAGTCTACGATAAAAAAAAAGATCAGTCATGGCGAGCTATATATAATCCCACACACCATTAGTGACAATCTATTACGCTCATATACACTTATATGTATACATAAATAGTCATAGGTGTGGTTTACTACATGTTATATACCACCATTTGAAACAATTTTTTACTTGTTTTAATCTCTACTGAATACAGATTAACTGGGCATTAGGATGCAGTATACAGCTATAACACAATGCCTGAAATAATCGGTCTTATCTTTTATGTGGTCGCGACATTGTGAATAATATGAACCAGGCAGACCCTATGGTCCCATTCCACGTGATTCGGACTATAGAAAGTGACCAACACCGAGTACTGATATTTTCAAAAAATAGTTCAAAGACACTCATGGTGGCGAGTGCGAAGCTCCACTGGGCGGTTGGAATTTGCACTCACCTATTCCGCCGGGTATTCCAGGGTATCCTCTTTCTCCCTTCTGTCCTTCGTAACCCGGGGCGCCAGGGGGACCTGGCAGACCAGAGCCGGGGAATCCGGGGTCTCCTGTGGGGCCTGGTGGGCCCATGGGACCGGGCTGTCCTGGGTGACCCTTCAGTCCTAGTTCGCCAGGGAACCCCATGGGGCCTGTCTCTCCCTTCTCTCCTCTTGGTCCCGGAAGACCTTTGCAAATGTTTTGGGAAGGAAAGCAAGAAATCGGTTAAATCCTTCTTATAGTGTAGAACGCTATACTTCGTTTCACTTCAAAGGCGACTGTTGACCCATACACACCAGTGCTAACCAAACTCTAACAACGGAGGGCTGATTTTTCACTCTATCAGAGCTGTATCAGCGTTCTTATGCATGTAACCCTGACTTCTTTTTCTTTTTTTTTTAGTAGGCCCAAAGTGCAGCATTAATTCAGCTCTGACTCAGTGCTGACAGTAATGCTCATGCAGCCCTGATTTTAGGTTATCTCAGTTTTAGGTTATCTCAGCGTAGCCGATGTAACGAGCCGAGGGGTTCAATTAAGTAGCGTCGAATGTACAACGTCATGAAGTTCGTCGTCCTTTTTTTGAGCGTGGTATCATCGGCTGAATTAATAAAGTGCAGTGAATGCTCTGTGACCTTGCACCTTTAGTTTGGGTGTCCATATTTGTATAAATTCCAGCCTTTGACTGCGTTCTTATTGTAAAACGAAGTATAGACGACTTCAAGACAAAATATATTTGCTGAAGCACACATGTATATGCATCACGGCCTTACTAATAACTCGTTACTTTTTCAGTTACTCTAGATAAAAACCGGTCTTTAAATAGGAAGTACTTTGTACTAAGTAAAAATAACAAAATCTAGTTTTTTTTGTTTTTTTTTTAGAAACACGAATAACGTTGTTTGTTTTTTACCAAGACTATCCAGTGTCTGCATCTCAATCCAGAGACGCCTCGTAAATAGGCATTGAAAGTCGTCCCTAAAACTAGATGGCGCCAACCACAAAGTCGTTCCTAAAACTGGATGGCGCAAACCACAAAGTCGTCCCTAAAACTGGATGGCACCAACCACACTCCGTCACTCCTATTTATTGCTACTCGCAATACTGAAGACAGGCAATATCAACGACACATATTGGCTAAACCTGCCAGCTTTCATTTAAGAAAATTGCCCAATTTTAACTTTACGTTGGTCACTATAGTTTAAATGTGAAAACTAAGAAGAAAATAAAAATTGACGGACGACTATTAAGGTAAAGTAACTTAATCCATGTTAGGCTCGCTAACGAGTAACATATTATAGTCGGTGACAGGGTGCCGAGCATATGATTTTCCCGCATATCATCCCACTCTCTCCACTTGAGTAGAGTGAACGCTGGAAAGGAGGCGAAGGGGAACTCATCTCTACTCTAGCGCTCGCTCTACTAAAGTGGAAAGAGTGGAGGGCTTTGCAGGAAGAACTTGTCCGGCACTCTTAACCTGTAACCGAATATAAGATGCTTTTAAACTAAATGACGCGCATAACAGTACTTAGCTACCTCTTTTAGAACTGTTTACATGTCTGCGCTCGAGCGATGATCGATATGAGGATTCTTACCTCTTGGGCCTGGCATGCCTGGGAATCCAGCATCTCCCTTGTCGCCCTTGAGTCCAAGGACGCCTTCGTTTCCAGGAAATCCGTCCCGTCCGGGAGGTCCCGGAAGTCCGTCGAGACCATCCCTACCGCGAGGACCGGGAGGTCCAGGTGGTCCCGGGATGGGCCCGATTACATTTCCGGGAGCTGAGGGAAACAAACGTAGACTTATTTCTTCTAGCAAATTATAACCTTAAAGGGCAACTCCGCTCAATTCCGAAGATTTCGGGATAATGAGTGATTTCGAATTAAAAAGCCCTAGTAAAAGACACTACGTCGTTTGGTTAGCGAAAAATTGGATATATATTTTTAAATCTAATTTTAAACACGAGCGGAAATCGAAACCGAAACTTCGGCCCCGTCCGGCAACATTGGCCTCGGGCCGCCAAGTACATGGCCATCACGTGGTACCAGATGTCACGTGATTCTCGGCCCTTCGACGGGCGGGATGGGGGTGGGCGTGCGGGAGGCGCGAGTGTCGTCTGCACCGCACTCTTCGCCACGTTTTGGTGTCTACGGCATTCGACGACGTCGGCACAACTGCGGCATAAGTCTGCGACTCCGCGCACGTGGTGTCCATAGTGTGGACGAAACTCCGAGAGGCAATAATCACAAACGGTGAGACGACGACGGTGGTTGTGACGCGGAAGACGGCGGTAACGGCGGGACCACGGCAGGCAGTTGGTCTGCTCCCAAGAAGCGCGCTGCGCAGGCGCGTACGCCAATCACGTGGATACCGCTGAGCGCCGAGAAACAACGTTGCTGACATCATGCGCTACGCTCGATCGGAGAAATAAAAACAAGCAAAAGGAAGCCATGATAATGATGTTTAGCTCAATGTTGTCTTCGCCCATGCCGTAGCCTTGACTGCGCTGTTGGTTGCGCATGAATTCGCCCACTCGAGTCAGCCGATTTCAGCAACTTGGCGAGTTGAAAAGTTTGCCGGACCGTTTAAGAAACATTTAGACAGAACTGCGTCGTAATATTTGACGTGTGGTCTTCCTAGGCGATACTGAAGAAAACCTGCATTGTTTTTTTGTTTTTTTTAAACCAAAAATGAAGCGGAGTTGCCCTTTAAAGAAACCGTGCGGGCCATACCAAAGTTACGTAATCAGCAACCGTTCGGCATAGAGGAAAGAGCTAACCACTCAGCATCTCAATTGATCCAATCTTCAGTAGGGATAAACTATACATTTCGTTGTCGAAATAATGCTTTTTTTTTAATCATACCTTACAGTTTGTCGGAACGATACTCGTCAACTCGGATTTTTTTTTTTTTTTAAGTTGTAAGTATTTTTATTTAGAGGGAACGAATTGCCAGAATTCAAGTTTCTATATGGAGAGGAAAAGAGCAGCGAGATATGTTGCTACAGGTGCCTCCTGTATATATGTATCACAGTTTCGCACAGTAAAGGAAAGGGACCTTTAAGAAAAACAAAAATAATACAAGAGAGAAAACTCTAGACGTCCTTAATCTCGTTCTCATACCCAGTCAAGCCGTCATTGTTCCGTCCAAACTCCGAAATTGATCATCCCAGCATAGAAATGATGAAGTCACCGTAAAAATGATAAAGATACGGTCGCTGCGGGTAGACAAAGGAAGGGTTGGCTGAAATTAAGGAGACGTTGGATGGATCGCTATCAGGATTTTAAGGCCAAATTCTTGTTAGAGATAAAAAAACACATAAAACATATGAAAGCTTAGCTTCTATATTTGTTATTTGGCGTATGGTGCTGCTAACTCTGATATCAAGCATACGTTTCATACTATCACCGATTGAAAAGTTCGATAAAATAAGTTTCTCCTGGGGCCTGACCAGGTTCGCTAATTGCCTAACGGGCACTTGGCTTAACAACAGGCGCTTCTTGCCTGACCGAGGTATTAGGAGCTTATATGAAACGTTAATTAATCTCTATAAAATAAAGAAAAAAGCACCTGGAGGACCACGCTCTCCCTTGGCGCCCTTTTCTCCCGGCGGTCCTCTGGCTCCTGGTAGTCCTCTGTCTCCCGCCGTGCCGGGGTATCCATACCCGGGCTCGCCCTTCTGTCCAAGCGATCCGGGACGCCCGTCCGCACCAGGAATACCGGGGGCGCCTGGTGGTCCGGCTTGACCCTACCGATGATCACCCACGAGGGGTCAAATCAGGTTGTTCATCCTCAAAGAGACAATCCTACAGAACCTGGCCCTGTCAGGGGCGTATTCACGCCCTCCATGTAAAGAGCACGACGCAGTTCACGCGAACAAGCGTTTGGTGATTTGGTCTGGTTTTCTCTGAGAAGCAGGCCAAATCACTTAAGCAGGAATATCTCGGTGCTCGCACAATACCATAACAAAAAAACAAAAAAAAAATTCAAAAATGCGGCATGGTCGTGCTCACGCTACTTGTGTCACTCAAAGCACTCTTACTTCAGTGAAATAACACACGAATACAATTGTAACAAACAGGTTTGTTAAAATAAAGATAGAAAAAAAAAGAGATCTTTGTGTGTATATGTTTTGTGAGGCCTATTGTCGCCACTATAGCCACGCGGCATATGCGCTCAAACAAGCCTCAATATTACTGTGTAATATCGTTCTACGGAGTCTACCGGTCTTCAGCATTGTCGCTGGCAGAGATACAAATTTTTTTTCACGAATGATGAACTTGATCGTAATTATTAGTCACAAGGGGGGAAATACAACCTTGCTGATCAAGTGAACGTCACACATACTCCTGAATTTGTGAGACTAATATTATCGACCAATAAAACGAGAGCTGTATTTTTTTTAACATCAACGACTACGGGCCTTCTATTGAAAAAAAAAAAAAACACTTCGATTTGATGATCGCACTTCATCTATATCAAACGTTGTCTAACATTTGGTATGAAGATTAGCTTTGTAATGCTGCGCGAAAACGTCCTAGCGCTACAATAACGTAGTTTTGAATATTATTCTTGAAGATAGAGCAAAGGGCCTATTATAATTACAACCAGGTTTTAATTCACATGTATTCGGCTCGTTCGATAGACGCAGGTAACTTATTCATTACCTTTATCCTGTCGCAATGTAAGATACTAATTCTGGGCTACAGCTAAAACAAACCTGGGAATCCAGAGCATGGATTCGAAAGCAGTTACAGATTTTTTAAAATTCTATCACCAAATGGTCTTGCAGAAACGACAAGAGTGACAGTTTACGCTCACTTTTTCTCCCTTGAGTCCTCTCAGGCCATCGGGGCCAGGGGGTCCTGGTGGTCCGTCTCGTCCATCAAAGCCTCGGGGTCCGGGAGCTCCGTCGTTTCCTCGATCTCCCTTTTGGCCTGGGCGATGATGAAAAAAGTCGACAAGAAATGCATTGACCAAAACCTTAGATAGGAGCGAGTCTAATTCGTATACTACAGGTTTTATAGGAAACACTGTGCGAGTTTAGATTGTACAAGTGACTATAGCATGTGACAGGTTAAGAAAAGGAGGTAGGGACCTTCCCACAAAGCCCTCTGCTCGCCATGACTGCTGGTTTTCTCCTGCCCATCCGACTCCTCTCCAGCGTTCGTTCTACGAGCGCAGGTTCGCCTGCTTCTTGCACAGGGTTCTGATGATGCCAAAACGCTGAGCTCTTATCGGCTGATTAAAAAATAAATAGTGGCTAGACCTCGAGGCATCTAGCATTCTGGTCTAGCCACTATCCTTTTAATCAAAGTCAATCGAAGCTCGGCGTCACTCCGACGTCGCCGCAACTTCTGCGCAAAAAGCAGACGACTTGCTCCTCGCATAGTCTAAAAGATTTGGAGGCTTATACATACTCTCGAGCCGCTATTGCGCTAGTGTCAATCTTTATAATTAATACGACATTATGTTGGATAATTTAGTTATTTGACTGAAATATATACTTTCCAATTTTCTCTGATTTTTTTTACTGTAATTGGATTCTATAAAAGCACCGGGTATTCGACGTGTGCACGTAATGAGGGTTTGTGGCAAGTATTCGCTAAGCAAATAATCTCTTAACAAATTAGGCATGCAACAAATGTGATATAGTAAAATATAGATGTAAGGTATCACATTTTACATCAGTGGAATGGACTTTTCTCGAGCAACGAGGGCCGTTTAGGGGGGGGGGGGGGGGGGGTTATTTGCAAACTATGAATGATGGGCAACCAAACACGCTTGCACCCGTCAGAACACATTGGCATCGTGCCGTTGCATAGGCTTTCATTTCCTTTTATGCCCTACACTGCCGATGCTCGAAGATAGCCATGAAAAAATACGAAATGCACGTAAAAATTGCTGCTGACAACGGTGGTTGTGCGGGACGGTGCCTTCCGAAAATTTCGACAGCGGGAAGCAAGGATCTGGGCAGAAGGTGTGCACATGCGCAGAGGCCTGCTAGTAAAAGGTACCTTATATATCCTCTTTCACGACGAAACAAAACCGAATATCCTGCTCTTGTTATTTTACCAGTTGTTCCGTTAAATGTCTTTTTTTTTTTTGTAAGTATATAGTATGTTGGAGCAAAATGAAATTATTAAGCAACAATCGGTGGTTCGTTAGCTGAGTGTTATATGTTTACACACCTATTCCAGGTGGAAACTCTCCGGGGCTGATGCGAGCTGGTTCTCCTTTGTCACCCTTAGGTCCATCGCGTCCGGGTGCTCCCGGAAGTCCCTATGAAGCGAGAGACATAAAACATGTATTTACAAAAATATGCAAATTTCTCGCAAATTTGTTTTTAACATGAACGTAATTATTATTTGCCAACGCTGAATACAAGTCATTTTTGTAGAGTTATTTACTTATAATGAGATTACTTTAGTATACTGTAAAAAAAACTATCTCGGAGGCGCTAGACAGTAGGCCGACGTTTCTCTAAAAGACTTAGCTTTAAATCATTTCAATATTTTTAAAACAAAAAAGTATTGCAGTATCAGCTGCAGACATGTATTTTTAGTTGAAGTATATTTTATTCAATGCTATCGCAATGTTTCTACGGATCGCAAATACAAAATAAATACACTACAAGGATATTGGGCTAGAGTTATGCTGGATTATGCTAATATTACGAAAGTTAAAAAAAAAAATAAACAGCGGATCAGTGAACATTTTCGAAGGACACCTCGAAGCCCATTAGTTCTACAGTCGCGCGCCTGTCTAGCTTTCATATGTATCATTATACTGGTTGCGGTTTGCCGGGTTCGGCATCCACCCACTTGGACTCTATTTTGAGGTGATTCGAGGTGATGTCTTTCAAAGACCGAGGAGTGATGGGAAACGTACTTCTTCACCAGGTGCTCCAGCCCGTCCGGGGGGTCCATCGTCCCCTCTCTCCCCAGGGGGTCCCTGTGGTCCAACTTGGCCCCGAGCTCCGACCTGACCCTTCGCTCCGTCCAAACCGCGCTCTCCCTTCTCTCCCTTCGCACCAGGGATACATGACAGGCAGCTGCCGCCAGGTTCGCCTGAAACCGACGTATCTTCGTCACACTCCACGCATATGATGCACATATCACATAATATTTCACGCATATGATGCGTATGTTTCATCATATCCCGTGCATATACCTAAGCAATAAAAGTTTCGCAATCAAGAACTCTCTCATTGGGAATAACCACTTAGCGTGCACCTTAACGTAGTCTAGAATTGCGAATTGCTGAGACCCAATTAGAAGAATCAAACGTCGGCAAAGCAGAATCACTGAAGGCGTTTTATGAAATCATAACATATAAGTAAAAGAACTCAGGGACATATTGAGGCAGCATATATATCTGCTATGGTAACTGTAAATAAAGAACGGAAAGGATATCCGTCAGTTGTTCCTCCTCCAGCCCGAGCTTCCTACATTCAAAAATGCCTCAGAGTCTCGTGAGTTGGCCTTGAGAGTGCACGCGCAGCCAAAGCATGGTGGAAGGCAACGAACGCATGCTAGAGGCTGTACATCCGAAAGAGACGACAGCCTGTCCTTCTCATTCGGTCTGTGACGGTAAGGACGGCCCCCGCTTTGACCACTCCTGTAAGTACCGGCCTATTTTTTTGTCGACTACTTCATGCAGTAATTCAACTTTACCCTTGGCCATCAACGATTGGAACACACCACCAAGCAAGATTGCTACCATAACTGACCCATATAAATTTGCCGCCTCTGTAACCACTTTAATTTCTGCTTCATCCGACTAATCCCCTCGTTTACTATGCTAGAAGTGCGCGCGAAAATGTTCGGTTGAAAACAACAACCACAACGACAAATGTACTGATATCTTGTGTAAGGGCCTTTAAGGATAAAAAAAAAACGATGAGGACGATGAAGCGTAAAGGAACACGGTCATTGTTGCAAAAAATAGTGTCTTGTGTCTGTCTCTGTCGTTACGACTCTTTCAGGCAGTTTTCACGGGTGTAGCACACTGCCATTCATTTATAGTTTTATAGTTTCTTTTAATTCTGGTTGCTTCTCATTATGATCACGGTCACATGGGCGATTACTGTCTCTCTAGCACACTGGTGTTCTTGTCATAAATTCAGGCATTTTGTTTGTCTATCACCATTAGCTTCGGTGCCTCGGCATCGTGATGAGACGATGGTTGGTCAGTAATCACGACTGTAACTTGGCGCGTGTTCGAAAAAAACTCTACAAAAATAGTTATTAAAGAAATCTAATTAAGAAAATTGTTAAGGCTACTGTGCATTACCTTAATTGCTTATACAGTAAAGGAAGGTGTTTTGATGAAATATGTTTTGTCTGTCTCATAGAAGGAAGGCTTTGCTTCGAAAAAGGAAATCGTATTTTTAGACCACGAAATGCCTCTTTCTCGAAATATTCTGCTTTCACATTGTTTATATGATAAGTAATGATACAAAGCGTTACACAATTGTGCATAGTAATTATCCGCACAAACACTTTTAAATGCATGCTTGTTTTTTAACGCGACAATACTGAGCCATGTCGATTAGTTCAAATGTTCTTCGTAACGAACCTTTGTGCCCTGGAGTTCCAGGAGTGCCGTGTGTTCCCGGATGTCCGTCAAAGCCTTTGTCACCCTTGGGTCCTTGAGGACCCGGGGGTCCGGGAATTCCATTGAGGGAGTCACCAGGAGCACCTGTATGTTGTTAGAATCCGAGCACAGCTCAGAACATTGCAAGATTTACATCCATCAAACATCTGAGATACGGTTAGGTGCAACACAAATACCAGTCGATTTCCAGCGCTTCAACGTTTTCTACAGTGCATTGCTGTCCATGTAAGTTTACCGGCACTTGTGTTCTTGATTCCTCTAAAATGTCAGGTATAAATAAAGTTCAATGTTTTCGGTGTTTATTTTTTTTTCAAATTCGGCGGTGTTTGGATGTTTTCTTTTGTCACATATTCGTTTTTTTTTGTAGTTTGGTTAAGCTATAACTAATTAACACAAAAGACACCGAACTTCTTGGAAAAAATTAACCCCCCCCCCTCAAAAAAAAAAAAGATAACACCCCCGAATTAAAAAAAACAAACACACACACAACCTTAGATATAAGACACGTAGCAAATGTAGAAAAGATGGTCAAAATTATTTTGTCAGGTGCTACTCCGGCTCGCATCTGAAAAGATGGACCGAGCATTTTGTTTTCTTAATAATATGATCAACGGTCTCAGTAACTTTCAACATTTTAAACACGAAATGAGCCTTCCAGTTGACTTAATTTGATTCAAGATTTTAGAACAGCAAAGGTATCTTAGCAGCCCGTACACTATTAACCTTCGTTCTAACTTAATTCAAACTAGCATAGGAGCGCCCCATGCGCTCGTAAACAATAATGCGCTGATGAGCTCTCGTGATATATGTTTGCTCTAGAGTTAATTTTCTTTCTTTATAATTTATGACATTAGGTTTCACGTCATAAAGCCGCTGGTTGCCGCAAGAAAAAAACATCCGAGTGCACTTATGCTGTCGCGTACTGTGTGGCAAAATGACAGACAGCAGCGTGCCTCAACTGAAAGTCGCGTTTTTGGAACCCGCTATAGACTTTCCGAGGTCTGTCCATACAACGTGCAAGTTTGTCTGCTCTATGTGCACCTCGTAGGTTTGTTCATCTGTCAAATGCGTCCACTTTCTTTTTTTCTCCTCCAACCTCAACAGCGAGTGTGAGAGGAGATAAGTTGCCTGGAGGGATGTGCGTATGCGCCTGCACGATATTCTAAGAATAAAGGTGTAAAAGGGGTGTAGCCTTATACCCTTTGTCACTTATAATACACCCCAAAACTTCAGTTCGACGTACAGCTCACTGACGTACGTCGAACAGACGGCTCCAACTTTTACGAGTGGCTAGATAACGGTGCGATATGACGTATTAAACAGCTAAAGTATGTATCAAACACTACACACACAAAAAAAAAACACTGAGGTTTTTCAGTGGGGCGTAGAAAACCCCGATTACTTTTTTTAATCAGCCATACGTACATTAGTTATTTTATTAAGTTGTAAAACTCGGTTATCAATCCGCTCGTGAAAGTTGGTACCATCGGATCAACGTCAGTGCGCGTCGAACGGAGGTTTTGGTGTGCATTATATGTGTCAAGGAGTGTAGGAATATACCCCTTTTTCTTAAAGTGTACGGCGCCGACTGCAGTGATGGCGCCTGCGGGCGCAGCAGGAAGTCCCATGCAGGTGCGGAGACTGGGAGCGATTACGTGATTGATAACGTAGCTGATGACGTCACCGGAGGTTTTGCGGAGGACGACCACACGATAGATAATTTTGGAAATACTCAGCTCCTCCAATCGTGTTTTCAACGCACTACTATAACCCGACGTACGGCGCGTGAGGAGCCCATAAATAGAAGGAGCGGTCCCTGTTTTTCTAGAATTTCGTGACTTTAGAATGCAAAGAAAGCAGGGCAACAACAAGACAGGGTACGTATCGGCTTTTTCGTGTGTCCGTTGTTCTTTTCATGTGGTAAACTCGGAGTACTAAGACAGAAGGAATTGGGTCACTTCCAGGATGTAGTACGGAGCATCCTGGAAGTGGCGTACATTAGAACGGACCGACAATTCAACACGCCGCGCAGTGCACTGTGGGGTTGACGAGAGGCCTTGTGGAATTTTCCGGAAAGGTCTATTCCCCGGGAGGAGCTCCCACTACCAGCTTTCGCTGTAAAAAAAAAATGCTCACCTCGTTCTCCTCTCGGTCCCCTCTCTCCTTTGGCACCAGGAACGCCGTCCAGACCGTTGCTACCGTCCATGCCCTTGATTCCGGGATAGGAGATACCGGGAACCCCCTTAGGGCCTGGTTCTCCCTTGGGGCCAATGGCGCCGGGGTGCCCCTGGGGTCCATCCAGACCGGGCAGTCCCTCAAGACCGGGGTCGCCTTTATCTCCCTTCGGGCCCGGAGGTCCCTCCCGACCAGCCTGTCCTGGAAGACCCGGTCCTCCGGGAGGACCCTGGAGACCACGGGGTCCCAGTTCACCTGTGTACGGAACAGAAGCGAGGCTCGATCAGGTTTCTAAACTGAGAGGACTCTCAAGTAAGAACTTTGATTTGGGTAAGTTGGCACATCATTCGACAATGAAGCGAAACAGTGCAAAAACGAGGCGAACGAATGCGCACGTACGCCAGTTCTTGTTGCATTTTATGTGGGCCTTCGTTGTTCTTTGACTTGTCCAGGTTATCTACCTTTATTATTACTCATGTTGAATCCACTGTGTCTGTTGAATTGCTAGGCAAACCGGATCAGACTACAAGTGGATTGTCATTTCTCATAAAAAAAAAGTAATGTGTTGTCGAGAGAAACCTAATACTAAAATGACTAGCTCCACCGTCGTAAATGGAGTCTATTTCTTGTTTTTACGACGGCCGGGGGCCCTTGTATTATACGAGACTCTCATAAATGCTCGAATATCTGTTGCGTTTTATAAGTGCACTATTGTATGACTATACTACGTGTTGAAATATTTGCTAGTAACACCGTTACTCACTTTTCGTCCTTTGTCGGACTGTCCCTAATATTCGTGGCTTTGACTCGGTCCTGAGCCTAATTTATTTTTCAGGTGTAAAGGTCACTGGGATAAAGACTTTCATAATATTTGATCAAACCGTTCTTCAGGGCTAGATTACGCAGCTCTGACACGAAGTAAACAATAAAAATAAAGTGTGCAGACTAAAAAAAAGCAAAAAAAAAAAAAAAAAAAAGAGCCGTGCGTTGCGTTTACGAGTTAATGATTTTTCGTGCTACAGAATTCGCACCTTGGTGTCCGTCTTTTCCGGGGAGGCCCGAAACTCCGGGCAATCCTCTTGGTCCAGGGGGTCCGGGAGGACCGGCAGTGCCTCGTCCACCCTGAAGAAATGAATGTGGAATATCTTAGTTTGTAATGGCACACAGTACCGTACCAAACTTACTGAGATCATGAAGCCTTAATAATAATAATAATAATAATAATAATAATAATAATAAATCTCTATTTAATGTGTCCAAAAACAGCCACAGTGGTCTTCACATTGGTACACATAACAAAAAGAAAGTAAAAACCAAGTGAACAAACATAGCCGATCAAAGGTCGAAATAACATCAGATTGACCAGTGGAAGAGATGAATGGTAAGTACGCACACTAAATGGTTGCTGTGTGGTATCTTAACTTTTTACGGAATACTGAAATGTCACTGAATATATCAGGGCTAGCCAACGCGTTTCTATTGAACGAAATCTGCAAACGAAACATTAACAACACATTACAAATTGAATGTAAGTAAAAAAAAAAGTAAAATTTCTAGTAACACCGCAAGGAACGTGAAAATTGACACAGCCCAAAAGCGAGTCAGTGTCGAACACCCCATTTACAACGTATACAAGAAAACTAGATTACGTTTCAGCTTTCTGCTTGACAAAGATACGAGAGAAACTCTATTACGAAAACATTTATAATTAAAATGAAAGCGACGTTGGAACTGTCTATCATATACAATGCGTATCAGCCTTTTTTTTGCACGGATTCACTGCTGAACGACTGCGTGCAAGATTGCGAATTCCAAATAACTGAACTGAATTCAAGCCTATAAAATGAATATTCAAGCCTATAGAATATCCAAACCTTTAGAATAAATCAGTTAACTCAGTAATTAAAAAAAAAAAAGCCACGAAGCCTCATTGGTTAGATTATTAGGGCACCTTAGCGAAGGTAAGCGGCTCGAGAGTCTTAGAGCGTGACTTACACCAGGAAGACCGGGAGGTCCAGGCAAACCGCGTGGTCCTTGGTCACCAGGAATTCCAGAGTCTCCTTTCAGGCCGGGCGTTCCCATCAAACCGGGAAGTCCGTCATCTCCTCTATCACCCTGGAACAGGAAATATATGCGAATTTTGTAGGAAAACAAACGAACGTTTTGTGTCACGTGTAATCCCATTTTTTTAGGAAACCTGGCAATAGACGATACTGGGGCATACATATACACACACAGGTCCATTCTTGAGCAACTGAGCCAACCCTTTAAACTCATTTGACCTGTTCTGATAGAATGAAGATTTGACTCCCATGACCGCCTGGCGTTGTGAGGCTAGAACAATAGAATATAGCGATAATGAAATTTCGCCGAATGACCTCCTTATTTACAATATCGTTGTGATAGCAGTTGGTCTACCATTTGAGGGTCATGACCCGAAATGTGACGAGCTTTCGTACCACCTTGGAAAGCACACCTACTTCCTAGGATATTGAAAATAATTACACTTAAAATATTAGTGGGCTGCATACAATATCCTAGTGAAATGTGAATAGCTCTGGTCGGAAACCGTACTTCGATATTTCACGTGAGGTATGAAGCGCTGGGATGAAATTTTCTGCTGTAGTCTTACTTTAGCGAGGTTAGCTTGCAAACTTATCATACTTTATTATAAAGAGGCGATAAACTTGTTTGCCAACCAAGAGCTAAGTTTGATAAAGCTATGATATATCGTTACTTCTTTTATAGATGAGAAACGAGCCGGAATATTTTTTTTCAAAGCTTCTTGTCCCCTCTTTCCACGCCCCCCCCCCCCCCCTCCCTTCGAACTACGTACACAACGCGACACGGTTAGCGCAAACGTGACTTCGGCACTTTTTCACATTTTACTCGAGAACGGGCACCGGCGAGCAACAAAATTTACCACTCAGGTTAGTATCCAAACCGAGCACTTTCTAGCTTTATGATTAGTTCTTCATACTGAGAGAAAGCAGAGAAGACCAGCGATGTCTTGTTCGCGCTAACAGTGTAGCGCAATGTACGTCACACTCGGCACCGCAGTAAAAAAACAGTTTAAAGAAGTACAGCGCAAGTTCACTCACGCGTTTGTAAAGCGAAATAAAGAGACTAAAGTTTCACCTTGAATCCTACAGGCCCAACTGGACCAGGATAACCGTCCTTGCCCTGTGCAAAATATGAATGAAGTTAGGACCCATAAAAGGAATAAACAAATCTGCACATGAAATGTCGCGGGTTCTGAGGTGGCGCACCCTCGGTCCGGGATGTCCTGGCAGACCCTTTTCGCCTTTCATTCCGAGGTCTCCGTGTCTGCCCTGCAGAGAGAAAGAGTGGGAGGGAAAAAGTGGGAGAGGGAGAGCACAAATGGTATCAAGAGCGATTCCCGAGACTAATGAAACTTTAATTTCAATCATTTCGTTTGTTATGTCCCTAAAGCTCGATAGGAATTTACATTAGAGGTGGCAAATAAAATATATTAAACTCAAAACCGAAAACAAAAAGTATACACAAAGAAATAGAGGTAGCCATGGTTTAGAAAAGCAACAAGTGTAGTTCTGTAGCCAGATGATGTACTATGATCCAGTTCTGCAAAATGAACCAATGAAGACACATATGACTCAATCAGTCATTGATTCGTGCATTTATATGCATGATATACTATGATCCAGCTCTGCAAACTGAACCAACGAAGACAGATATGATTTAATCTGTCATTGGTTCGTGCATTTATATCTTAATAAAAGATTGAAACACCTATCACTTATCCAAGTGATGTTTTACCCATTTAAAAATTAATCATACGGTCAATTCATGTATTCATCAATTATTAATATAATTAGGACATCTACAATTACATAAATTAATAATTAGTGCATTTGTAAGTTATTTAAATAATTTGTTTCAATGTACAACTCAGTTATCAGGCTATTTCGTACCTTTATATTAAAGCTGATTGTGAGAGTTATCACTGTATTTTATTTCATTTAGTTAGAATCTAACATTTTGATGTAATAAAGGAGTTGCAACGTTGTAAGTTCTTACTTCGAAGTTGTGGCCCTAGTGGTAAAATAAGTTTTTTTTTATTTTTTATTGGGGTTATGTGAGACGTATAGTCCCAGAATTTTTCGGATAAAACTGTTTTATCTCAAACGTAAAATATTAAGTCGGAATTAAAACAAACACACTTACAGGTTGTCCAGGGTTACCAGGAAGCCCATGCTCACCCTTAAATCCAGGTTCTCCCTAGAATAAGCAGGTAGATATGTGTATGTAAGCATCAATAGATATCAATGCCAAAAAGTATAGGCATAAACCACCTCTGAATAAAAACATAAGAAATCACTTTATTGCATTGATCACAGTAGAAGCTCAAGTCGTGTCCTGTTATAAGAATAAGCTAATTTGGCTTTACGAGTATAAACAGTGCACAAATTCCCTAAAGGAGGCCACTATAATATGGTTTGCATCCTTATGCAAGTGCCATTAGCGCCCTATAAAAGGCAATCAACATAATACATTCCAATCCTTACAAAAAAGATATTGAGACACTTAATATAATTCAGTTACCGCTTTTTATACACTACATAGCCAACTGCAAATAAGGACACATAAAATACCACATATGTATTCTAGTGATTTGGCAATTGTGCTTAAATTTATCGAACGCTTTTTCTTTTTGCCCTGAAGTTTGTAATCCACAATTCTGTGTTCTGCACGTTCTTCAGAAAGAGTGCCGAGAACCTGTTTATCGCCACCGTTGAAACGAGTCAAATTTCGTTGGTTCACAAGAAACACATTACTTTTGCAGTTCCAAGATCGTAACGTGTTGTTGAGTTTACATTACACTAATAAGCTTTTTACAAAATGTGTGCTAATTATATTTTTAGACAAAGTAATTCTAAACAAAAAAAAAATTGTTTTATATTGCATACAAAAAAAAATCTTTTACTATGCATTCTTAACCCGAGAATGTAAAAATGAACGAAATTAGCTTGTCACGTGAAGTCTGATTATCCAAACATAAAATTACACAAAAAAAAACAACTCACAAATGCAGTTTATATAATTTTGCTTAAAACTATAACTAAACAAAACATGTGATCGTTTCGCGTTCTTGAGTAGAAGATATACTTAGTTCCCGTTCTAGTTCTACCAGTGTTATATGTACCAGTGGCGTTATTCCAGCCATGTCGTTCCTTGGAACTGCATTCCGGTAACAGCGGTATAATCTGAATTTATTTACGTTCTGGACAAAATCCTGAAACTGACGCACTGAGACGAACCTCGGCTGCGTGCACCAACCTTCATTCCTTTCATTCCTGGGGGTCCCGGTGGGCCGGCAATGCTGTCCGGGGGCTTCCCAACAGGCTCCGTGCAGTTTCCGGGCGGTCCCTTTTGACCCTTGGGACCTTTCTCCCCCTATCAAAGAGTTATATATATATATTTCAATTGAAAATTCAGGCACTTGATTAACCCGCCGCTTGATCCTTTACAAAAGAAGTATATTGATTTTACAGATCATAGAAGTAACTCGGTAATCGTGACAATGTTATTTAGCATACAGTTGCTCTCCTAACGTAAAATAGCTATATACATTTTGTAACGTTAGCCGCAGGCTTATATCAGGTTAATTAGTGATTTGCCACAGAGAGCATAAAATCAAACATGCCCACCGTGCTTCTTTGGCCGTCTCTTCCAGTTTTTTTAAGAATCTCTAATTCAGACATTGAGCTGAATTAGAAATAACGGCGATTAATATTATACTAGCGTTATATTTTCTCTTTATTCCCACGTGCCATGAGGCCTCTTATATCTGAACACATGGCTTTACGTTAGCAGAAAAAGTCTTGGAAAAGTGCCTAACCGCACGTTAACAAAAAGAGAAAGAGCAAGTCTTCCAAACGGCCAAGAAATATTTTGCCATGAGCCAATTCAATTAGATCACGCAGAACGTGATCTAATTAAATCACCGCTTCTCGATGAGAACACGTAAGTGTTTCACAATGTACCGTTAGGTATTAGAGGGTACTTTGACTAGTAATGATCAACTAGCTATGGCAGCAACAAATACACTTACAGGTTCTCCCTTGTTTCCTGAGAATCCGATGCCCATGTTGCCTTTCGGTCCCACTGGTCCTTCCACACCTCTAAAACCCTGTCAATGCGAAGGAGCAAGTGACACCATCAGCACGACTGATCACGTATCCCAGACCGCACACCTCGTTAATACTTACAAATTGCTTAGTGTAATAGAGAAACTATTTGTAAACAACATCGGAATAGTCCGAATAGTCAGCGAGCACAAACAATAATTCAATGTTGTCTTCCGAGAGTGTGGTGTTTTTCAAGATAAGCCTCTTTTATATCATTGAGCATTTACCAAAATCGACATTGCTACATGTTAGTGTCAGCTGCCTACATTATTTTACAAGTGGAGGGTCTCGTAGGAATAACATTGCATTACACAAGGACATCACGTTACCCGAGTGCGTCATTGGTTATCATCGGTAATGCAATATAGAAAGGTCGGAACAAGAAAGATAGCTAGTGTTCTGTCCAGAAAGACTTTACCGGAGGTCCTTCTGGTCCGGGGTCGCCCCTTGCTCCTGGAAGACCGTCAGCCCCAGGGTTTCCCTGAAATAAGACACAATAGCAGATCAATAACAGGCCTGCAACTATTTGTGGTCCACACTATTTGGCTATAAATTAAGAAAATCAAAGCACGACCTTGTCAAGCGATATTCAAGAAGCGATTCCTATTCCGTGGTCTTGCTTTAGTTTATGACAAAGACATACTCATTGACTTACTGTAGATTGCACTTAGTTTAATCTATATTGACAAAAGCACAACTGACGCAGCTATAACGAGTAATTTAGTCGTAAAATTGCACTTTACGTAAGTAAAATTGCACTTTACTTTTTGTCGTTTATTTTTCACCGTTTGTATGAAAGCCATTTTGTGCAAGAACGGAAACACGCGTGAGTGAGTTGAGGGACATGTGACTATTGTACAAGTTTATGCTACTCTACGCAGAGATGTGATATGAAGTATCGAATCAAAGCGACAGGAGGAGTGGAGTCATGGTCCTGGTAGTTTTTAGCGAATTGAGAGCGAGGGTAGAGGCAATGAAAAGAGAAAGCAGAGTAATTTATGCCAACAGACCAGGTGCCTTGTTCAGATGTCTAATCAAGGGGTTGAAATCACTTTTTATTGTTACTGCTGATGAAAAAATCAAGAAGGCAAGAGAAACTTACCGGTGGTCCAACTTGCCCGTTTCGTCCTGGCTCCCCCTATGGAAAACACACACAAAAAGAATGAGTAGCCGTAAGGCACACTTTGCCGTTTTACCGCAACCATTATTGTGTGTACGTTACCAAATTCAATCCTCCTGAAGGCCGCATTGAGGAGACACAAACAAAATATTTAGACGCTGAAGTGCACACAATACACTATGAACGTTTGAAGTTTTTTGTTTCAGAGCAATGTGCTAACAAAAGCCGAAATTACGCGTTACAGAACCTTCATTTTAAATTCTGTTTTTAATATCACATGAGATATATACCACTGTACCCCAATGTTGGTGAATATATTATCGTTATTAACATCGACCCAGTTTAACGCTTCCTAAAATTGAGTAAATATCTGCGGTCGAGAACGGATCACTCCCGTTGTGGTGATTAAGAAAGTAACGTAATTTTTATTCAATGAATTAACTCAAATTTGACCAGACAGCTTGTCCAACAAGTATAACCAAAGATGCCAGTTAGCTGCTGTCCGACACCGTCACTGACAGAAACACATTGGGGGTGGTGCTGGGCATTACTCCTCCAGCTAATGTGCGTTTCAGTTTCTTCCGCCCTTTTATGTTTCGCCAATCTGTCCTGAAAATTAAATAATAAATAGTAGTGACACAAATTACAATGCTGTCTTGTTTTATCACCTGTGACACGTTTGGCAGAGAACCGGTCACACTAGCGAAACTTTGTCAATTTGTTGGTTCTTGCATGCGCTCTGAGTTCCCAGGTGAAGCTTTCGGCTTTCTACCTGGCCGACACATCCCACAAATTTCCGCTCAAGAAAAAAAAGTAGTCAGAATGTGGCCCCCCATTTCTCACTTTCTCTCCTTTACTTCCGGGTTGGCCGTAAGCAGGTTCTCCTTTGAAGCCTGGCGGACCAGGGGTGCCCGGGGGACCGGGAGGTCCGAGGGGACCGGGGAGGCCGGGGCCACCTGGATCTCCCTGCACCGGAGGAAATCGGGAAAAGGTGTAAGTGAATTTTTAGGCGGCATCAGAACTGAAGTCAAAAGAAATTGGTCACTCTTCAGAATGTTGCAACAAATCGGTGACTTCCGCAAGATCAAGTTCCCAGGTTTGCTGAACCAATCTTCACATCGATAAACAATACGGACCATTACAAGAAATACTGATTATGTCCGTGCATTAATTAGTGATGAAGGCAAATAAATTAGACGCATTACAAATAAGCATTCTTCAAGTGTTAAATAATTAATAAAATTTGTGAAAATGCAATGACGATACAGATTTAAAATACACATCGAACCCGTGATTATTTGTTAAATTATTTTACTTTTACTGTGGACCCTGTAAGTGTGCACGGCGTATAATGTTCAAAAATATTGGATCGGCGAGTTTCATCTTGTAAAACTTGTATTTTGCCATAATTAATGCACATGGCTGGCCCCAGGGTTCGCTAAAATCTTAGTAGTTTTCGCAAGCATAAAAGATATAGAAAGCAAAAATCTTTGTTGCAGTGCATGTTGCAGTTTAAAAAAATCAAATGGCTACCCTTTTTTATTATTATTAGTGTAACTTCATTTTGAATCTCGCCCGAGGTAAATCACCAAACCAGCCCAGTGCTTCGAAGGGTTAGACTAGAGATTCATTGCCACAGGAGGGAGATCTCGTGGCAGCGTAAACATGTCGTATTATATTGGCTATAATGTTGCCCTATCAGGTGTTTTGCTTGTTTGATTGTAGACGTGTTACCCTACCTTTGTTCCATTGCATCCGTCCAAGCCAGGAGGTCCCCTAGATCCAGGTGTACCGGGAATTCCCTAGATTCAAAACATGGAAATACACAATTTTAATATATTGATTCGGATTAATCCCATTGTAGCGCGAAATTGTCTAGATCCACGTACCGGTATTCCATTGATGCCAGGAAAACCGGGCATTCCCATCCTTCCCTGAAATCAAAGTAAGTATCGCCGCTATGATTACGCTGGTTTCAACTTTGTGACTCGGGATTTCGCGCTGTACTAGTGCTTGCATTTTTGCTTAAAACATGTAGAAGCAACGGAATTGTTCACGACGCTTTACTTGTTTTAAATGTATAATGTGACACCGTCATCCCGCCAGGACTTAGATCTGTATGCATCATGGTCTGGTCACGGAATCAACCACATCTCCATAACTTCTTCGGGCGTGTAACCCCATTGTCTTTCATGACTAACATAGGATATGTATTTTATGGTCTTCTGTATACTGTCAAGGTGCGCTTTTAGTAGCAAGACAATTTCAAGATTTTACTAGTAATTCTATGGCCTTCAACCTTATTATTTTTAGAAACATACGCGTTCAGGATGAGCTAGCTTTATTATATACGGTGAATACGTTAAAAAAAGCCAAAAACAAATTTGTAATGACAATTTGTTTTCGGGATTTTAGAAAAAAAATAAAGAATATAATTAATGATATATATGTTCTTGCACATGATTTTAAGCGGAGATCACGGATGACAAGGGACAGGGGACAAACACACACGTCTCGGTTGTCGTGTACCGCCTCTCGTTAGAATCATCCGTGCTGTTAACCAGCTCATCTGCTTATCAACGGTGTCCTATATGCTTTTGCCATTTTATTGAAAAGGTTTCCTCATCAACGAAAGGAATTAAAATATTGTTTTAGATTGCATAACACGTGCATTTATAAACGAGGACTGTTTCTAGATCCTTCTGAACTCGTTTCTGTCATAACAGCGCGTCGCTACACACCATTCACATTACGGTTAATAGCGTAGAGACATCCAAGAACGGGAGATCATGTTCGTAATGCTCGAGTGCTCTCGCAAATGATGTAACCACTAAATCAGGTCGCTCACAATTGCATTCCCACCACTCCTAAGTAAAACCAAGTAGAGGCAGTGCGTACCAAATGTAAGCCTGACAATCACACAGCAATCTCAAGTCACGAAGTGTCGTCAGATCTATTCTAGACAGGAAGAAAAATAATCTCGTCTGTTGTTGTTTCAGGTGGAAGGAGACAACTTGTCATTCATTGAATTACATACGCTTATGCTTTCCGGTTAGAATTTCGGGTGGGTCCACTAACCACCTTTTCGATAACAAGGCAATAGTTTCTAGGTTACTAAACGGCGGCCAAAGCAGAGGTGCTGATTGGCCACGAGTAATGTGTCAACGTTCGACTGGGGGTCGTGTCCAATCAGGGAGGACCGGAATTTCAGCCGAAAGCGTATGCGGCACTCGTGTCCAATCAGCACCTCCGCTTTGGCCGCCGTTTAGTAACCTTGACGCACTGTGCTCTCGTTATCAAGGAGGTGTCGGTTCCATAGAAAGCTGTACGTAAGAGTATAGGCAATATATTCTCTCGATGTTTAACGCCGCCAAGCCACTATTCTTATTTTCGCAAGACGTGGCGTGGCCTCACGGGTATTGCCAGTTTGTTGCGTTCAGCATCACTAGCAGGCGCTGTCGGCGAGTCTGTCCTGTATTAAGCACTAAAGTGGCAATTTGGGCAAGTAGGTTCATGATCACGTATTTAAGCACGTATGTGAAAGGCCTTACCGACCAACAGCATTGGGTCTGCTGAATATTCTGACCTAAGTAACGCCACTTTCCAGCGAAATATTGTTTGCCGGGACTGAAAATCTTACCTCTTCCCTCTTCGCGTTCATCAACGGAAGATGGGGAAGAGACGTTTCACAGTATTGGGGAGCCAAGTAAATACACATAAGCGTAACAAACTCTGCGTTTAATTTGGGTGACTCGATCGATGGTCCTGGAATATGGAGAACCCTGCTTAGGTCGTAGGAAAGGAAGAAAGGTGGTGATCAAGACTTCGACTCAGCCTTTAAGCGTAACTTCTTCATCGGCTCTACAGTCGAACCAAGTTAAGAACACACCAAATAAAAACCACACCATACCAGCCAGTGCATCTAATTGCTCCGAGAACTATCCAGAAATAGCAGTAGCCCTGGCGAGTCATGGGATATCAGCGAGGCGTGCGCCTCGTTAGCGGACTATCTGCCCATCATGAAGGAACAGTGGCTGGCAGCAATAAGGATGTCGGATCAACTTCTGGCGCATTCTGAAAGGGAAGCTAGATCGGTTTTGTATTTAAGGAAACACACTTAAATCGTTTTAATTAGGGCTCCAAAATATCAACTATCGATTTTTTATTTTTTTGGGTGCATGGAGTCTGCAGAAATTTTTTAAAAAAAAACCATTGAAGGCCTACCTCCCCGGTGTGAGGCGTAACAATAGGGGTTTTCGGTATTTTCGCTCTCGCGCACCTTCAGCAACTATGAAAGCTGTGCATGCGCACAGGGGCAGTAAAAGACTTCACAACTTTTGCTAATGCGGGGGAATATACCTGGCAAGCTCTCGATTGCACTCGCGGCCCTTGAGCGACACGCGCTTGGCGGCCGAAAGATTCTCTTAGGACGGCACGACTGGTTGGATATTGTTTTGTTTTCTCACGTTCAGTTAAATCTTCGAGAAAAACGAACATGATATTAAGATCCACGGGATAAAACTACGCTAGAAATATCCTATATCTGATTCTTTTATAGAAGTGTTTCAGCTTCCCTTTAACGTGTATCTTACACTAGTATGAGTGTGTAGTAGAAAGGCTATTGTCGGGCACTCTGAGTCTTCCAAATACTCGATTCCTCTTCACTCACTCTTTCACCCTTGGGGCCCCTGGGGCCGTCTCGTCCAGCGTCACCCTTCTCGCCTTTGTCTCCAGGGAGACCCTCAGGCCCTTGGTGTCCTTGCGTTCCAGGGGGTCCCGGTGGTCCCGACACACCGGGCGTGCCCTGAATATCCAATGTTCACACGTTTTAGGATAGCTGCAGAAGAGTCCAGGCTTTGAGACTACAGCGAGACAAATTTATTTAGCTGCGTTATAACTGCACACACGATTGACGCCCGAACTGATTTTTTTTTAATTTTTTTAATATACTTTTAGTCTTACTGTTTGAGCGTTTTCTTAATAAAGCTGCAATAAAAATCAGGTTATCGTTTGACCTTTATGAAGCGTCATCAATGCCTCATAAGGTGTAAGAAAGCAGAGTCTATACCGAGCTCATGCATGGACAATCTTAAGGAAATACGGCCAATAAACATGCAATTAACTGTTTACGCACGTATTTTCGTTCAGGAAGTACCGCATACTATTTGTTTTATTAAAGCATGCTTTTGAACTACATTATGCAAATATATTATATCTATGGTACAAACTATTACAATAAACAAAATCGTAATATGCACGCTATTCGGAAAAATTTCAAAAGTAATATTAGCAGTACAGTATAGTTGCAAATATCAGAGTGTATATTGCATGGGTTGTCTGCGATTTATGTCGATATTCATGTCTGACTGACGATATAAATTTTTATGCTATTCATTAGCACGATGCCAAACTCCAAGGTAATAATGATTTGATACTGTTTCTAAATATTTCATACACATTTTTCAATTCACCAGAAGCAAAAAAAAAGTATAAATTATTCTCTAGAAGGACAAACGTCGAGCAAAACGTTAATACTAACGCCAAACTCAGTGCCAAGATAAAACAAAAAACAACAGCTGTACCCGACAGAGCACAAATATCGAGCAATAAAAAAAAGTGTCCGAACGCGGCTCCGGCCTTCGCAGCAGTCTATCTTAATATAATTAAACCTCGTTCGTAAAATGAGACAGGCCAAAAATGAGAGTAACGCTCGTAACACTCATAACACTCACGGCCGAAATCATTATTTCGCCCAAAAGTGACAAATAATTCTTTCGGCAGATGGTGAACGTTAGCGCAGCTATTCGAGAGCCGCGCCAGTACAAAACGACACAAATGCAAAGACTTACCCTAGTGCCTTTTTCTCCTATGCATCTGCATCCCGCGCACGAGCTGCAGTTCCTCTGTTCGGTGTAGCCGTTGTAGCCTCTCCTTCCGTTTCGTCCGTTTTGTCCTCCCGACTGGTTATATCGTGGGTAGTCCCGGTACCGGACGTTGTATGGATCCGTCTGCAGGTTGGGAGATGGGAGACCACTGTTAGTAGGCACAGCAACTTTTATGCTAGTAAAGAACTCAATGACAGTTTTTATGCGAGGGACCCGCCCCACCACAGGGTCAGACAACAAGCACTCCTATACACAAACAAGCAATCTACAAACAAGCCGGCACCGAGTGTGGGCACTGCGAGTCCAGATTCGCGCGAGGTGAAGCAAATGTGTATGCGCTACGCCGACATTTATATATTATATTTTACATTATAGATTATAATATATGTTATATTATTAAGGACTGTAGATTATATATAATCGAGACACTGTCAGTTCGTTTAAAAATTAGTTATTCTTTATGGTTTTTGTTCATCTCTCGCGAGTTCGGACGTCGCTCTACGTGTAAATATGAGGGGCATACAATTTAATAAAAATGAACTTTCAAATATTACACAACTATCGACTGAAATATATATCAACTGAGCGGAAAGGCAATTAAACTTTTTGAGTTTTTTTTTTTTTTTTATTAACTCCGACGAGCGACGGTAATATTCAAGTAATTAGTTGTATGAACGTGTATATAGCGTGAAAGAAGTCAATTTTTTTGTGTTTTTACATACGCTGTTACGAGTCCCCTTGCGTCTACTTTTGCACATATTGCTCGGAAAGTCAATGACTGCGACATCGGCGAATGTCAAGGTCGAGGTTATGTTGAAACCTGAAACTGAAGCCTGCTATCTGACACTGAGCCTGAAGTAACTCCTGAAACCTCGAGCTCATCGTTATGTCTCATAGTTATGCTTTAGGTACAAGAATATTTTCGGCTTCCTCAATCGCCGTGCTCTCTTATACACTCCGTTTCACCTTATGTTGTACCGCAGCGAAGGATAGAAGCGCGAGCTCATAGCGTTGGCAGCTGCTTTTAATGCACGAGAGCTCGTGCCGCCGAGATCTATCCTAGAGAAAGGATCTCGCGCGTGTAGCCTCTCCTGCGGTACACCATAAGGTGAAATGGAGTGTAGCAAATTCCTCGGATAGATTTGGAGCGATCCAAAACTGCTTCATTCCCGCGCATTTAGAGCAGCAAATGCTAGCTCGAGTTTACTCGCGAATAAAGATACCAAGGAAGAGGCGCTTCGTAATTGCTTTAAATCTACGAGCTGAATTTGCCATTAGAACCTATGGAATCTCCGAGTGCTCTGTGGGAAAGCAGACGCACCGATAATTTGACCGCTCCCGCTCACCCGGAGTCTTTAAATGTGACTTTAAAATAAATGAATAATAATAACCGTTGAAACCTTGTTTGCAATCAACATGTTTCTTTCTTTTATTTCTTTTTTTTTTCGCTTGCAGTGTGCCTATATATTTTTTGCTGTGTCCAGTACTTTTTTTTTAATCATGTTTGAGATGTTTTGTTGCGTTTTCTTTTTTGCTGCGTTTTCATGTGTGGTTACGTGTTCATTTTTCTGTGCCACTGCTGTTAAATGTAAGGGGGGAGGGCGGGGGGGGGGGGGGGGGGGGGAGGGGCGAGGGCTCATCAAGATGCACCATGCAGCTGTTTTCATTTGTCTCTCTCCGTCATTTAAACTTTTGAAAGGAAATGAACATTATTATTAAACCAATCGAGATGATTGTTTTGCAGGCACGCGGGCAGAACCTCCCCCAATCCAAATCATGAAACCGGCTGAGGTGAGGTTTGAATTTCATGACGTCTAAATCCGCAGGCCCTGAGGTGCTCGACCATTGGGATCTCCCTGATGAAACATCAAGAAACCACCAAGACAACCACGTCACATTTGGGAAGGGCCGGGGGCGGGGGGGGGGGGGGGGGGGGGCGAGGGCTCATTAAGATGCACCATGCAGCTGTTTTCATTTGTCTCTCTCCGTCATTTACACTTTTGATAGGAAATGAACATTATTATTAAACCAATCGAGATGATTGTTTTGCAGGCACGCGGGCAGAACCTCCCACAATCCAAATCACGAAACCGGCTGAAGTGAGGTTTGAATTTCATGACGTCTAAATCCGCAGGCCCTGAGGTGCTCGACCATTGGGATCTCCCTGATGAAACATCAACAAACCACCAAGACAACCACGTCACATTTGGGAAGGGCCGGGGGCGGGGGGGGGGGGGGGGGGGGGGGGGAGAGGGGCAGCAAACAACCGGGATACCAGCAAGACAAGTTCATCCCATCATCGCTCATAATATTGGAGGTAGACGGTCGAACCTAACGATTTGCTTCGAGCCTACGCGTCAGAATAAATCCATCATTTGCCGTTTCCTCCGCGTCGTTCCACGTCCCATCCATCGACGATTTGCACACGCAGTGCAATTTATATCTCTTCTAGTGTCCTTAGATAGGCGCGCCCGCCAGCAGCGAACAAAAATATGGAAGCTTAGAGAACGACTGGAAAAAAAAGACACACACACGCACACACATGCAAGGCAGGCTGTGGCAGGATGAAGATCCTCAGTCTACTGCGCCGCCAAGAAAAACAGGAGACCCGTTCCAGCTCTGCCGAAGGCCCTGACCACCTCGCGTTGCTGTGCCTTTTCTTGGAACCGCGGCAGACAAATAAACGAACGCGTAACCCTGCCTCTGCTGTGCAGACATGGGAGAAAAGGGGAGGGTTTATTTCTTGCCCCTTGCGTCTTCAGAACCCGAGCAGGAAGACGGAGCGGAATTTGGTAAACACCGCGAACTGATGGAAGCCAGTCGCGGAGCCCCGGCCGCTGCGGGCCATGGCATGGACAGCTCTGCAGTGCGAGCTCGCGTCGCTGTTTTGAAACAGTGCGAGATGTATATCCTATCCGACGAGTGCCCGACTCAACAAGCGCGGGCCTTTCACAGTCTTAAACTTCCGCAAGCAAGATGAGACTGCTTTGATGCACTGTCATGGATGACGTTTCCCCGTTATCACCCGGAATGCTCTGGCAAGCCTCGCGACGACTCATCTACGTCGTTCTTTTTTTCTTATGCGCGTGTCGCAACGCCCCAGTATTCGCTGCTTGGCTTTGCACGCTGCCTATGTTGGAGTTGATTATAAAATGTAATTATCTAAGCGTTTCGAGGATACCTGAGGACTCGCATAATGGCGAATACAACGAAAAAGGCAATGTTGAGATAAAAAAGGAAGAAACAAATTATTGAGTGAGAACAATTTCTTTTGCTTATTAGTTGCGCATTATCAGAGATGATCACGATGACAAGCTAAACATTAAGTTTGGTGCATATCTCGATCGCACAACAAACTACTTTGATTAAAGTAAAGATAAAATTGACGTTTTTTTGTTCTTTTTCAAGAAGGTTTGCAGCAAACATTTTCAAAGTATACAAATAATGTTGAACTTCACGTTGGCTATGTCCTCTACAAGCTTGATTACGTCAGAAAACAGGTATATTTTTATCTTTAATTTAAGAATTTGACAAGCTGTTAAGGAGATGCCGTCGTCGAAAGTTCGATAAGCGATAAAGCAACAGTTTAGCGCAGCCAAGGGCTATGAATGAATTACTAGTACATTAGTACACAAACTAATTATGACAAAGATTGAGACAGGCGAAATTTGCGGGCGACCGAAGATAATAAATTTAATATTTTGTTACTAACACTGATTCACCTAGAGCATCGACGGCTAATTCTGCCATCCTCACAGCGTTGGTTGGTAAATGATTGAAGCTATTAGCACGGCCGTTACACACATATATGATATGTTGTTTACGAAATTGCTTCATGAACTGCTTTCTTAGTGACTGACTATAATAGGCAGAAAACGAGGTTTTGAAATAAGGGAGACCTCAGGACCGTGTCTTCACCTTTGTCTTTGAACAGTACGGGCGCAGGATAAGCTCCCTTCACGAGGACACAAATCCACCGAAGTTCTCCGTTGCGCTAGCTGCTCGAGTATAACTGTGCAAGTTCTCTATGGCATGGTCGCTGTTCCGTCCATATTGAGAAGTTTCACGATTTGAGGCAGTCGACGCCGCTTACTCTTCGATGGTCGTAAGCGTCTTCATAACGTTCTGCATAAAGTACGTCTTCGAGTTGGCCTCAGAGAAGTCGAGGTCGACTGCAACCACTTCGTCGCTTGGCCTGGCGACGAGCAGAGAACCCTTGGTGGCGGAACTTGCGGTCGACCGAAGGTAGAACGCGAGGAGGCCGAAAAGAGCCAGGATGGTGACCAGGAGAAAAGCCCACATGCACCAGGCCTCGAAGGGCGCTGCGGCCAGCGGGTTCTCAATGGTTCCGTCGTCTTCCGGGTTCCTGGCGTACTGGACGATGCGGCGCACGTTGGTCAGGCTGCTGGGCACCCGTTTGACCACGGACTCGACCTGCAGGAGGTGCAGGATGTCTTCGTGGTTCCGGGCCTCGTCCGCCATGGTCGAGGCAGGACGCGGTCGCCGGTTTCCGCTGCTGCCGCCGCCTCCAAACCGCCGGCTGATCGTCGTCGTCTTTTTCTCCCCCACACCGACTGGTACTACTAGGGCCCATCTTTAGCGCAGCCTCGTATGCTAGTCTTCTTCATCTGATGTGCCGTATTCTGAGCTTATCGGTGTTAAGCCTTTGATGTGGCCAAGGTGGCACTTCATTTATTTTGAAAAGAAAAAACATGCAAAAAGAAGGAGTTGGTCACTGGATTGTGAGCCACCCGTTTCAGGGTGCCGATGTTGAGTCCAGAGCGAGTGAGTCTCGAGAAATGCCTTCTGCGTACCGCGTGCTGTTAGCTTTTGGCTCGCTGGATGAGCCACGTTCCAATTGTTATCGTGTCATAGCCACCATTAGTGCCACTGAATAAGCTACGCTTATTCATTCATCACTAAATAAGCTCATTTAGTAACTCTACGCTAACCCTTAAGCTGCGACTGCAGCCAATACCAAAAACACAAGAGCATTAGGGTTCCTTTATGTGCGCTTTGTTTAGGTGATGACATCTGGTCACTTTGTTCCGAACGCTTATTTTTATTTATTGTTCTGAAGCGCATGAAAGCGCGCGTCCCTGCACGAGCTCTTGGCACTGAAT